CCCCCCCCCCCCCCACCCAGAGAAAGCCATGTATGTCATTTTCAGTGATTTCTTATTCCCTTACACCGTGTTTAAAATTCTCTCCAGCTCTGAAAAAGTATTTACATCATAGTACTGCGAAAAAAGAAATATCTTACCTTCGATATTCACTTGGAATGTTCTAATAACGCGTCCAACCCTGCTGCTAGCCACACACTTGTAAAGGCCAGAGTCCTCTGGTGAGACATTCATAACAACTAAAGAGAACTTGTCGTCTCGGGATCTTACGTCCAGACGACTTGTTTTTTTCAGTGGCTTATCATTTTTGAACCACTCGACATCAGGACGAGGTTTGCCTTTTACGGCAACAGACAATGTCACCTCGCCACCTTCAACTGCTGTGATTGGGCCTGTCTCCTCCTCGTCAGCAAATTCAGGGGCCGCTATACTCTCCTTTAGTTTAAGTTCAGCTTCGCAGACGGCCTCTCCAACGTTATTAGTTACTTTGCAGGTGTAAGTACCGGCTTCATCTGGGGAAACATCGTCAATTACAAGAGAGAAGAGATCATCTTCCTCATCGTCAATTAAAATATATTTTCCAGCATCTTCGATCTTGTCAGCTCCTTTAAGCCATTGCACAGCTGGTTTAGGATATCCTGTTACACGCACATCAAACCTTCCTTCTTTGTTTTCAGCTACTTCGATGTCCTTCATAGCTTCGGTAAATTCTGGTTTACTATCAGCTTCGTTTACGAGAAGTTCTGCAGAGCAGGATGCAGCACCCAGCTCATTTTGAGCAATACATTTGTAATCACCCTCATCGTCAAGTTCCGCTGCACTAAATGACAAAGAAGCAAGTTCTCCATCAAAGTCAGCTGTAACTCCTTTGTTGGTCTCTAATGGTTCTCCATCTTTAAGCCACTGGATGGTTGGTTGCGGAGTCCCCTTCAGAGTACAGGAAAGTTTCACTTTGGTCCCTTCGGATGCTTCAACTGATTGCAAAGGAAAGGTAAACTCTGGGGCACTTCCTTTAGGCCTCTCAGCTGAGGGTGTAAACAAAAATATAGTAATTACTGAAGTATATATCACAATGTAGTGATTATAATATCATGAAACAATAAACATTGAATGGGCCACAAACGTCTGACATTCCTGCAGGTCCTATTTTGAATTGTTTGTCGCAGTAAAAATTCAGAGGCTGGTGCTAAAGTGAAATACAAGGCCGGTTATTTAAAAAAAAAAAAAGTTTAGCCGTATTTTAAAAAAACCGCGTCCTAAACTGTGCACGTTGTCAAGAAGGCCCAAAACTAGCGTTGGAAGGACAATCATTTAATGAAAACAACTCTCTTTATAGAGAATATGTAAGGCTCACTACTTGTGTAAAACCGCGGTTTGGGTTAGAACTCGTCTACATAGCCAGCCTACAATGTTTAAGTGACGATTTTAGTGCGCCTTATCATTGTGAAGAAGAGACTCTAGCTTCTCTCAAAATCATAAAACTCTAAAAACGCATACACCAAAATCACATTTGAAAATTCTTCCACTTCAGAAATAAGAAGTGCGTTAAAAAGAGAGAGCTGTGGAGGGAAGTATCTCTTGTTTAAAAGAAGTTTCACCTAAAAGGTTCAAACAACGTTCAATTACAGTCGGAAAAATTACGTCATTGTGGTTAAAAGAGTCCTACCTTGTACCCTGACATCAAACGTTCTGGTGGCAGTTCCCATCTTACTCTTAGCTTCACACTTGTAAACACCGGAGTCATCCGCCCTGATGCCAAGAATCACCACAGAGTGTTTATCTCCACGTGCTCTAATGTCTAGTCTGGTACTCTCGCGAAGGGGTTTGTCATCTTTATACCATTTCACGTCAGGTTTTGGTTTTCCGTTGATTGTGACATCCAAACTAACTTCTCCGCCTTCAGTCACAGTAAGGGGAGCCTCAGATTGGTCTCCTGAAATTTCGGGGGCGAAAAGCCTCTCCTTTACTATGAGGTCCGCTCGGCATGTGGTTTTACCTGGGTCAGAAGAATAAGCGTTAAATCTCTTTTATATGACTTCGCCCTAAGTAACTATTAGCAAATTAACGGGTCTATATTGGTCGACAATCATTCATAAAAAAGCGCGCGATTACAGATGTAAGTGCATACATAACAAAGCATACATCTCCGTTACCAGGACAAATGCGCGGAATCTCTGACGCCAATCACTCGTTAAGACTGATTTTAGACAGACGCGCACAGATGTGCGCAAAATTTTAAAGCTGCACATAACGAAAAAAAAAAAACACCTTACCCCCTTCGTTTGAGGCTTCACACTTGTACATCCCAGCATCGTCACGCTGGGTATCACGGATTTCAAGTGAAAACATATTGTCTTCAGAATTCTCTTTAAACTCAATTCGACCTTCGCTCTTCAGCTTACTAATCCCTTTAAACCACTGTAGCTCAGGCACAGGGTAACCAACTACTCGAGTATCAAATTGCGCAGAGTCTCCTTCCATCACTTCGACTCTTTTGAGTTTGTCCTTGAATTCTGGCTTAGCTACGACTCGCACTGTTAGAGTGGCCGCACAGGATGCTGAGTCAATCTCATTGGTAGCCACGCACTTGTATTCTCCTTCATCAAAAGATCTGGCATCCCTAATTGTTACAGCAAAGGAGTCACTATCACTTTCAAACTTGACCCGTCTGTTTTCCTTCATCCGCACTCCCTTTTTAAACCACTCGATGTTAGGTTTGGGTTCAGCAGTCACAGTGCACTGTAGTTTGGCATCACTTCCTTCCTTTACCTCCACGGATTGAAGAGATTCAGAAAATACCGGTGCTTTTCCTCCTGGTTTCTTAGCTACATTTTAAAGCAACAAAAATAGTAAAGAGGACCAGCAAAATTACAAAAGATCCCTTCATTGATGTGAACGACGGTTTTAAGAATGATACTCACGCGTTAATGGAAAGAATAAAAGAAGCCTACCACTACAACGGAATGCACGTATGAAGAAAAACCAAGAAAAATAACAACAGTAAATACATGCAGATAATTAGCAGATGCTAAATGTTTAAAAGAAACGAGTAAGGCGTTAAAAGGTAGCTATTTCCCTTTCAAAAGTGTCTTTGGGAACAAAGCCTTCCGATGGGTTGTCTCCTTTTTTCAAATGGATCTTCACAGAAACAGTAGATGTATTGCAATGGTGAGACTACACGAAAGGACCTCCAATCCACATGCGCAACATTTCAGATAAATTAACCTCACACTGTAGAATATTCACTGATGGTTTGGAAGGGCTACCTTTAAATGAAAGCAACACACACGAACATACTGTCAAAATGCTGTTTTTTTCTTGACTACCTTTCACATCCCCTCCTTCCTGTTCCATAACAAGAGCGCTCTCGACCTTGGCAGCTGACTCGGGTACAGTGATGGATTCTTCAACCGCAGGCAGCGCACTTTCAGCCTCTTCTCGTGGGATCAGCGTTTCTCCAACAATTAATTTACTTTTACATGAAACTTCACCGACTTCATTGAATGCAACACACTCATATTCACCGCTGTCACTTGGCCTTGCCTCTTCAATCACTAAAGAAAACAGGTCGTCCTCTTCGTCATCAATCAAAATAAAGCGACCCTCATCTTCGATCTTTTGTTTTCCCTTAAACCAGTCAACTTCTGGTGGCGGTACACCCACAACACGCACATCAAACCTGGCTTCGGCCCTTGGCAAGACACTGATATTCTTCAGCTCTTCTTTAAAGTCTGGTTTGGTTTCAGCTTCTTCCACCAGAAGCTCTGCTTCGCTTGACGCACTGCCGAGCTCGTTACGAGCCACGCACTTGTACTCACCCTCATCGTCAAGCTCAGCTGGTTTGAACGATAAAGAAGCAAAATTGCCTTCAAAGTTCAAGTTGATGCGCTCCGACTGTTTCACTTGCTCGCCATCTTTAAACCATTCAATATTGGGTTGTGGTTCTCCTTTTACCTCACACTCCAAGTTTGCTGGTTTACCTTCCACAACTGTAAGGTTTTGGAGGGGTGTTAAGATTTCTGGTGCTATTCCTTTCGGTTTCTCGGCTGTCAAGGAAAAAACACAGGCAAAAAAGGGCATTGTGTTATAATAATACAATGCCTATTTTTATAAAAACTAATGAAGGATATAACCATTTCAGTCGCAAGCATGTTAACGCATGTTAACGCATGTTAACGCATGTTACTTGAGACGCTGGGAGGACATAAGCCATTTAAGAAAATATGTGATAAAACTCTCTGGCAGCCCTGCATATCTTTAGTCATAGTTTCAGTTAAATGGATTTCCGGAAGCAAAAAAAGTCAACGATTCCAGGAATAAAGGTAAAATACCTCGTACTCTGACATTAAACGTTCTGGGAGGACATAGGCCAATTAAGAAAATATGCGATAAAGCTCTGGCTATCCTGCACACCTTATATGGTCATAGTTTCAGTTACATGGATTTCCGGAGGCAAAAAACGTCAACGATTCCAGGAACAAAGGTAACATACCTCGTACTCTGACATCAAACTTTCTGGTTGCAGTTCCCATCTTACTCTTAGCTTCACACTTATAAACACCAGAGTCATTCGTCTGGATGCCAAGAATCACTACAGAGTGTTTATCTCCACGCGCTTTGATGTCAAGCCTTGTACTCTCGCGAAGGGGTTTATCGTCTTTGTACCATTTCACGTCAGGTTTCGGCTTCCCAACGATCGTTGTATTCAAATTACAGTCATCGCCTTCTGTAACTGTAATGGGGGCCTCTTCCTGTCCTTCAGGAATTTCAGGAGCAAACAGCCTCTCCTTCACAGAGAGCTCACCACGTACTGTGGTCTTTCCAGCTTCATTGGAGGCCACGCATTTATAGATCCCAGCATCATCACGACTAACATCCTTAATGGTAAGAGAAAAACGGGCAAGATCCTTAACCTCTTTGATCTCAGTGCGCTCGTCATTCTGTAGTTTTATGGTCCCTCTGTACCACTCAACAAACGGTTCAGGATAACCGACTACAACAACGTCAAAGCTGGCACAATCACCCTCAACTACTTCAACCCCTCCCAATTTCTCTTTAAAGTCTGGTTTAGATAGAACCATCACTTTCAACGCTGCTGCGCACGAAGCAGAACCGAATGCGTTAGAGGCAACACATTTGTATTCTCCTTTGTCATCTGGCCTCGCGTCTTTAAAAGAGAGAGAGGATGTCATCCCATCACTATCCACTTTAACTCTTCTGCTCTCTTTCACTCGAACTCCATCTTTTAGCCACTCAAAGGTCGGAGGTGGTTCAGCGGTAACTGTACAATGAAGTTTAGTCGCATCGCCCTCTTTCACTTCTACTGCTTGTAAGGGCTCTGTAAATTGTGGTTCATCACCCTCTGGCTGCTTGGCTATTGAGGTAAAGTCAAAAGATTTTTTAAGGTTTTTTTTTATGAAACAAGCAAGTCCTACCTGTCTTTTAGTTTGTCGGCCTGTCTGTCTGTTAGTGTCGTGCAGGTTTACACCCCAGACACCATGGTTGAGACAAAGAAGATGGCAGAGACAGTGGCAATTAACATCATAGGAAGGGGGAAAGGGGTGAAAGAACAACATGAAAGTTGTTCTTGGGAAGTGTCACAAATAATTATGCCTTGGAATGTAGCTTAAAAGTTCAGAGAAACAGATATTCACCCACTTGCTCCTGCAACAGAAAACCGAGATGCTTACTAAGTGATTACGGATTGGGTATGTTATGATAATAAAGACAGAGCTCAGCTGGGATTGACTAGTGATTATAATTTGGTGCCAGAGAATGCACACTGCAGCTAGACACAATACCTGAAATTTGTACATCAAACTCCCTCTCTACAGAGCCTGCTTTGCCACTAGCCTTAAGCTTGTACAACCCAGAATCTTCTGGGACAACCCCCGTAATTTTCAGCATGTGTGTGTCCTCTATGACAAAACGATTCAAACGTTGATCCTCTTTGATTGTTTTGTCATCTTTGAGCCATTCAACTTTCAGTTCTGGTTGGCTTTTCCTCAGTTCTGCACTCAAATTGATTTCACCTCCCTCTTCAGCAAGAATTGGGGCACTTTCAGCTTCGTCAACAAACGCAGGGGCAATCAGGGTCTCTTGCACTAAAAGGTTGGCCTCGCAGAATACTTCACCTTCTTCATTGAAAGCAAGACATCCGTATTTTCCAGCATCTTCTAGTTTTACGTCCTCAATGGTAAGTGAGGAGCGCCCTTCATCTTCCTCGTCCTCATCATCCAGAAAAGTAAATCTCTCAGCTGGTTCTTCCAATATCTTACCGTCTTTCATCCAATCAACTTGTGGCTTGGGTACTCCCGTAATAAGCACATCAAACCTGGCTTGTTGACCAACCTGGACAGTGACATGCTTCATTTTCTCCCTGAACTCCGGTTTTGCAGCTGGTTTGTTTACAAGAAATTCAGCCCAGCAAGACACACTGCCAAACTCATTCTGGGCAACACATTTGTAGTCACCTTCATCGTCAAGTTCGGCTTCCTTGAAATTCAGAGAGAAGGTTTCATTATTACTTACAAACTGTATACGCTCGGACTCCTTCACTTTCTCGTTGCCTCTAAGCCACTCCACCGTTGGCTTGGGCTGTCCGCTTATTTGGCATTTTAACTCGGCAGGAGAACCTTCAAGGACCTGAACAAACTTTAAAGGTTCCACAATTTCCGGTGCTTTTCCTTCCGGGCTCTTTTCTGCGAAACAATAAGAAACGAACCTTAATATGTTGAGAGTAAGAGAAGCCGAAAGAGTTTGCCTAAAATCACGGTCATCTTGTAAATGTTTGATTTTAAATAAGGAAATAGCTCCCCTCGTGTATCAATACCGCACGACTGTTTATACCGTCGGCGAGCAAGATCACGAAAGAAAAAGGTGGTCTCCAAAAGAGGACTGAAAAGAGGTAGCTGGGCCTAGGCTGATAAAAGTGTTTCTTAGGTTCGATGATTAGCATCCGCCTAAAACAAAGTTACCATCCTAGCGTAAATGAAGAAATGTATTTGAATCAATAGGGAAAAAAAAAACTCCATCAAGTTAAAATCATCAAACCGCATAACACTTTGTTAACGTTATGAGCCCCAAACATACAATTATCTTTCTAGTATTGCAACCTCAATCTTATTTCACGGTACGTTTAGATTAAGGGCCGAGTAAGGTAGCAACCCCTTTTTAATATGCACGTCAGTGAAACGCTACCTTACCTGCTACGTTTACATCAAATCTACGAGTGACAGTGCCTGCTTTGCTTGAGGCCTCACATCTGTAGCTTCCCTTGTCTTCAGAAGTAACATCTAAAATCACCAAAGAGAACTTGCCATCCTTTTCGTCCATTCTTATTCTGCTGGTTTTTCTTACCTTTTTGTCATCTTTGTACCACTCCACAGTTGGTACAGGCTTGCCTTTTATACCTACAGTTAAGCGTGCCTCATCTCCTTCCATAAAGTTAAATGGAAGGCTTTGTTCTTCGTCCGTGAACTCTGGTGTCATCATTTTCTCTTTGACAGCAAGAGCAGCTTTACAACTTGCCTGTCCTTCCTCGTTCGCAGCTATGCATTTGTACGTTCCTGCATCTTCAAGAAGAGTGTCCTCGATGATCAGTGTGGAGATGCCTGCCTCTTCGTCATTCATCATCACGTAACGACCATCGTCTTCCAGTTTGTCTTTGCCACGGAACCAATCCACCACTGGAATTGGATTTCCTTCCACAGTGACATCAAACCGTGCTGCCTCTCCTTCAGTGACATTAACGGGTTTCATTCTCTGTGTGAACTCCGGTTTCTTGTATGGTTCGTTAACTAGAAGTTCCGAAGTGCAGGAAACAGATCCAAATTCATTCTTTGCAAAGCATTTGTAAGCGCCCTCATCTTCAAGCTCAGTTTCTAAGATCTTCAAAGTGCACAATTCGCCGTCAAAACGGATCTTGATCCTCTTGTCTTCCTTCACCGGTTCGTTGTCTCTGAACCAGTCGATAGTTGGTTCTGGTTTGCTAGTAACTCTACACTGTAGCTTGGCGGGTGACCCCTGCACTACCTCTACTGTCTGTAGGGACTCTATGAATACTGGTGCAATACCTTCGGGCGGTGCGGCTAAATGAAATGATGAAAATCCAAATCTGAGTGTACAAGCAGCTTTCAGCTAATTTGACACCTTACTTAGAAATTGTGTGCAAATCTCGATAAATGGTAAAAAAAGTAGAAGAAGTGTCATGATGCCACGAATGCCACTGGCTAGGCACTCCGTTAGAGGTTTGGGTTTCAAATTGGGGGTCATCCACTTTTGGTAAAAAATCGCTTAGGGGCTCTAGAGAAGAGGAGTCCGAATATTTTACATGCGGGCTCCAGGAACTCGTTCGAAAAGAATGTGAAAGGGTTTCAAATGCTTTTCACATGCAATTACAGCAAAAAACTGTGTCAAGATTGCTTGCATCATAACGACTACCTGAATACAAATGATATACTTCTACTCTCATAAGATTTAACATGAAGCAACGAACCTTTTATGTCGACATGATAGGTTTTTTCCACGTTACCACCTTTGCTCTTTGCCTGACACTTGTACACCCCAGAGTCCTCAGGTTTGGCTTCCAGAATAAGAAGAGAGTGTTCGCCATCTTTGGCATCTATCTTCAAACGGCTTGTTTCCCGCAGCTTCTCATCATCTTTGTACCAGTCGACTGTGGGAACAGGTTTTCCTTTCACGATCGCACTAAGACTGACAACATCACCCTCTGCTACTTTCAACGGAGTCGCTTCTGGTTCAATTACTATTTCAGGTTTAGTAACAGCTTCCTTTACTGCCAAGGCGGCTTTGCATGACCTTTCACCTTCTTCATTCAAAGCTATGCACTTGTATGTCCCAGCATCCCCTAAGAGCGTGTCATTGATTATAAGTGTGTAATTACCACTGTCTTCGTCATCAATTATTTCAATTCGCCCTTCGTCCTCTAATTTATCTTTTCCCTTAAACCAGTCTATAACAGGAGGTGGATTACCAGCCACTTTCACAGAAAATTTTGCAAGTTCTCCTTCAATGACATCAACTGGTTTCATTTTTTCTTCAAACTCAGGCATAGTGTTTGGTTCATTAACAAGGAGTTCAGCGGAACAAGAGGCTGAACCGAGGTGATTTTCAGCAACGCACTTGTATTCACCCTCATCATCCAATTCTGTATTCTGGATTTTTAAAGTGGCTTGCTCTCCATTATATCGAGTTTTGTATCTTTTCTCCTCTGCCACAGTGTCACCATTTTTAAACCAAGCTATGTTAGGCTCTGGATTGCCTGTGACCATACACTTAAGAGTGGCTTCAGTTCCTTCTATGACCTCAACTGTCTGCAGTGGCTGTGAGAAGTTGGGGGCCTCTTCTCGTGGTTTAGCTATGTAAGATATAAATTAACTCCAGCTTTTATCTATCATTAAATTTCAGCATACATTAACAATATATTTTGTGTTCATAGCAGGTAATTTAGTGTTAACAACTGGGTTGAAAACGTAAATTAGCCACCGTAAAGGGTAAAAAACCTGAAGTTTCGAGCGTTAGCCCTAAGATTAGATGAACTGAAATAAAGGGGTAAATGTTTATTAGATCGCTTAGATCGATTATTAGATCGATTAGATCGATTATTAGATCGCTTAGATCGATTAGATCGCTCTGACGAAGGGCTAACGCTCGAAACGTCAGCTTTTTTACCCTTTACGGTGGCTAATTTACGTTTTCAACCCAGTTGTTAACACTAAATTACCTGCTATACTCTCCCACCGACGCAGCACCACAGTTTCTTTAGAAACTTACCCCTTTATTTCAGTTCATAGACAGACAGATGATTATTAACACACTAGTAAGTAATTCCCTTGTATTCGAAATAGGAAATACATTTAACTGCTCTACTGGACACGCCACAATGCATATAACTAATGTAAGGGTGTAACCTTTAATCCCAAAGCAGCACTGAGTCTGAATCAACTCCAAAAAGAGTCAGATGAGTGATTCTTCTAACTGGATGCAACTTAGTATAGTAGGCGTGTCCAAATTTTAAGTCCTCGACAGTATTAGTTTTTGTACCTTGAACATTTTCATTGAGAGGTTTTTTGTCAACTTCCTTTTCGCGTACAATCAACTGAGCTTCACATGACGTTTGACCAGCTTCGTTGGAAGCAACGCACTTGTATTGACCAGCATCTCCTGATTCACTGCTTTCAATAACCAATGTGAACAGATCTTCTTCAATGGCATCAATGTGCACAAATCGTCCTTCATCTTTCACCTCATTTGACCCCCGATACCATACAACTTTAGGTTCTGGAACGCCAGAAACTCTAACATCAAATCGGGCCTCCTCTCCAGCATTAATTACAACAGCATCCATCTTTTTTAGGAACACCGGTGCGGCAACATCTCTTACAGGTTCTGCTTGCAAGTCGGAAGTACTTATTGTCTGTTCTAATTTAGGTTCTGATCCTGAGTGACGAGAAAAAGCACACACTTTACAATCATTTATAACAAAAAAAAAACGTCCAGAACCATAAACAGAACAACAATAAATATCTTCATCTCATGAGGAAAAATCAGAATTGCGGAGAGAAGAAAAATTGAGCGCAAAGAAAAACGCGATGCAGTCCCTCGAGGCAGTTACAGAAATTTACTGATTCCTACATCGAACGAAAAGCACTCTCTTGGCGACCAATGTCAGTATTTTATTGTCTTTGCTCAAGAGGGTTCATTTAGGAATGCCGATTTTATAAACCAAATAAATATGCTCGCTAACTGATCAATACTTGCTAGAACGTTAGAGAAAGATCACGTTACCTTCTATATTAAGAAGAAACTTCTTGGTAATTGTACCCATTACACTAGTTGCAACACACTTGTAAGTACCGGAGTCTTCTGGGGTGACATGATGAACCATTAGCTTAGAGTGATCGGGGTCATGTGAGATCTCAAGATGAGAACTGGACACGACTGGCTCTTCGTCCTTGAACCATGCAATTACTGGTGAGGGTAACCGACCAGTATTCACAACCATAGACACATTGTCGCCTTGAGAGCCTTCCATAGGCACCTGGCAGTAACACAAATGAAAATTGAGCACGAATGTTTGAAAAGAAATAAATAACCAAAGGTAAACGGAGCATGAGCAAATCCCCTTCTGCCATAGAGGTTATCAAGGATAACCGGATATGGACCAAAAATAACATAAACCCATGACCCCAGTGGGACTGTCAGGGCAATAGCCCAGACTGAGGGGAAGGAGAGGACTGCTTTCAGCACACCATTTTAATATTTCTTTTCACAAGTCTAAGGTGGCTAACTGATCGACGTTTAAATAATTTTCGTACCTGCTGTACCATCTGCTTTTACTTCGAGCTAAAGATAGTGCGTTACCCATGAAGGATATCTATAATTCGAAAAAACGATGGCACATTTGAATAAAATGCTCCTACCTCTTCCATTTCATCTTTGAACTCCGGCGGAACCTGAGTACGAGTAACATTCAGGCTGCACTCACAATTGGCAGTTCCAGCCTCACTCATTGCCACGACCTTGTACGTCCCAGAATCACCAACTTTACAATCCTCAATGACGAGACAAAAGAGCTCTTCGTCATTGTCATCAGCATCGTCAACAATGATCACACGTCCCTCGTCTTGCAACTGACTCCCGTTCTTGAACCATTCCACCACCGGTTCAGGGTTACCTGTGATACGAACCTCAAACTTAACCACATCACCTTCATTGGCCTCAAGGTTCTTCAGCGACTCCTTAATCAGTGGCATACTAACACCTTCTTCCACAATTACCTCAGTCTGACACATGGCTCTACCAAACTCGTTTTGCACTACACATTTGTAGTCACCTTCATCGTCTAATTCTGTACAGGAGATGACAACTGCAGAAGCATCACCCTCGTTTTCAATGGTGATGCGATCGTCCTCCTCCAAAGGTTCGTCATCTTTAAACCAGGAAACTTCTGCCGCAAGTCCTATTCGACATTCAAGCCGTGTTAAGTCACCTTCAAGAACCTCTATCTCTTCTGGCAAACGTGAGATGAAATGAGGAGCGTTTTCTGAGTGAAAAAAAAAATTCGGAAAGTCAAAGATCGCCTAAGTCAAAACGGTTTCGAGAAAGAGAAAGAGAAGCCGGAAGGACAACGTTCGAGTTAAAGCGCACGCTTGTAAATAGCTAACTGAATGGCTTACTTCAGTCAAAGTTTCTCATGTTGCTCTGAAGTCATTTTTCTCGGCCGATTTGCTCGGCCCACTACCAAGGGTACATGAAACCTGCTTGTTTTTTTTTTGTTGTTTCGTTTAATATATTTGTTTGCAGACGTTGCACGTTGATGACTTAGTCACCACCATGGTCATGTTAAGAATTTACAACAACGATAGTTCTAAAGACCAAAGAGTATTTTTTAGAGTAAAACACCCGCTGCAACTTGAACGTTGAACTTCGTTTCATTGGTCGTTTCTAAAATTTCGAACATCACATACCACTGAACTCTGCATCAACAAATTCCACAGAATCAGTCTTTTCTGCAAATAGAGAAATCAAGTTGCAAATGGTGAAAAAAATTCTTTCGGTCCTGAGCAAAAACATCATATGGTAAAAACACTGCAGTACCTTCAACCAGGATTTGTGCCTCACACTGATCTTGTCCTGCAGGATTCTTCACTACACACTTGTATATGGCCTCGTCGTCGATTTCTGCTTGGTTTACTCTGAGCACATGAATCTCGTCGTCTGAGAGTAATTTGCAGTGATCGTCTGCTTCTATCTTTTCATCGTCTCTGTACCACGTGACAGTGACAGGTTTGGAGCCAATCACTTTGATCTGCAGTTCAAGCTTTTCCCCCTCCACAATGTCCCCATCAGAAAATTTTTGAACCAGAACAGGCTTCCTGAGTCTGATCAAAACAATAATGAACGTTCATTTTCAAATAAAATGCCTTTCGGATCCTGAACGTTGTAAACAATGTGGAGTAATTAAGTTTAAAAGGTAATGATAAAATTTGTCTCAACTTCTTATCAGGTTCTGGTTCCGTCTATGTCTATGATAATATAAAAACAATACGTGAAATTACTTACATCACTTTTTCGTCGTCACTTGGTTCTGAAATGAAATAGAGAGTTTTTAAAAAAATCATCGAGTAATTTAAAACAAACAAAAATTAATCTGTACTTCAAACAGCACTCATACGGTACCGGTACTGAATTTGGTGGTTGTGAGAGTTCAATATCGAGAAACAGCTCATCTAAAGTACTGTAAACGATCATATTGCGTTAAGTCAACAATGCACGTGTTACCAGGTCAAATTGTATCGTTAAGACCAAAGTGCTTATTTACTTGAGTTTGCCTAATTCACAAACCTTCCACTATAAGTTCTGCAGAGGAATTCATTTCCCAAGTCCCACTTTTAACTGAACACTTGTAAAGTCCCTCATCTTCACCGACGGTCTTCTTGATAATCAGCTTACTGCTTTGCTCATCTGTTATAATTTTGACTCTCTTGTTCGGTTCTACAGGCTTCATTCCCTTGAACCAGGACACAGCTGGTTTGTCTCGACTCACAAAACAGATCTCCAAAGTTGCTGGTTCTCCTTCATCAACTTCAACGTCCTCCAGCTCCTTTGTGATTTGAACTTCAAGGGATTCCTCTGTTTTTGGCTTTCTTGCTTCTGTAAATGTAGTTAGAAGACACTCTACTAAACATTTTTCATTTGTTACAAAAAAACTTCATGAGTACCAATGGATCTGATGCGTCGTAATAAACGCTAACTTACAACATAACTCTTAAACGCTTAAAAACGTTCTATGGAAAAAAATTGTTACATGCGAAATACCATGAGGAAAGATAACTGGTTCAGATTTGAGATCCAAAAAGCTTCCAACTTCGCTACTTGATGTGTTTTTCAATGACATCAATTTTCCACAGGCTTTATTCCAACTGATGTCGCCTACGCCCAGTTGTTAAAATAGCAGATAACGCTATCCCACGTACTATCTTATCCAACGGATAAAGGTTTATTCAAAAGGCAAACGGTTGTAGCGTTATCCATCCTTCGAAACCCGAAGGCTGGTCTCTAAGAGTCTACAAAAATTACCTTCTACGAGCAATTCCACTTCGCAGATAGCTTTTCCTGCCTCACTTTTTGCTACACATTTGTACATCCCTTCATCATCCACTTCTGCCTCATGAATAATAAGCTCATGCTTATCTCCATCAGAACGAATAGAAATATTGTCACTTGGTTGCACTGGCTCGTCATCTACAAACCATGTAACTTCAGGCACAGGTTGTCCAATTACCCTCACTTTGAGAACCACCTTGGCGCCTTCATTTACCTTTAAGTCATTAGGAACATCCATAAAGTCAGGCAGAATGGGTTCATTCGCACCCGGCAGTGTCAGTTGAACTGGCTCGTATTCCAAGGCTGAAATAGTGTCTGGTATCAAAGGCACATCTCCTGGTCCAGGTAAAACAAGCTACAAAAATGAATTGACAGAGATACAATAATTAAAATCTTCTTAGTCCATAAAAGAATACAAAACCCAAACACAGAGATCTTATAAGGGTTTCCGCCACATCCAGATGTTTGAAACGTTAGCAAGCCAATCCCATATCGTACTCAATTGACATACTTTGCGCTCCTATCCTTTTTTTACCCGAAAGGTGATTGTAATGAAACATTGAAACAATACATTGACTGCAGTTTGAGCCTAAGTTCTGAGTCCCAAGACACTAACAAATAGCACTGCTTATTTCAACGCTCTTGTATTTGACTGATAGTCTCTACGCAAATAGAAATTTTAGGATACCTGAACAGCTTCAAAAGAAGGTCTACTTTGTGGAAGCTCCTTCTCTGACACTTCACGTTTCTCCTTGTAGGTTGAAGGAAGGCTCTCCTCTTTAACTGGGAGTGCAACTTCCACTGGTCCAAAAGGTACTGAACTTATCGGTACACTTTTTTCCACCGTTACTAAGTTTTCTGGGGACTCCACTTTATTTTCATCGTCTCCTACAGAAGAAAAGAACCGTATACAAGAATGACTCTAATGAACAAATGGCTCTACGTCAACATGCGTCAATTAAAACATGTAGCACGCGCGAACTTCGGAGAGCACCAAGTATGTTGAAGACTCGCTAGAAGTGCAGCCGTGAGCAAACTCAAGCTTGTTGCTCTCCAAACGTCCTAAGTGCTTCGATCAACGCAAAGCTGACGCATGTAATAATAATTTTAACCAAATTTTCATCGCACTTGTTGAATAGCGAACACGTCCATGCGTTCAAACATGTCGTTAGCCTGGTAGTGGAAATATAAAGTAAGCCCGCCCAATTAATTAAATTCTACGAATTTACGAACTATCTTATGAATGAAATGAAAGAATGTCGTTCCAAACACCAACATTTACAGGCTCACGTATTATGCTGGGCATGAACATTTACATTCCTGTCACAAATTCTGACCAATCCTTCCTCTCACACTCCCACAAAAGAATACTTCACCTTTCATTACGACTAGCCTCAAGATAAATACAAACCTGTAACCAGCAACTCTGCCTCAGAGTTAGCTTTTCCAAATGAATTTGAAGCCACGCACTTGTACAGACCTTCATGACTCGTCTTGGTAGAATTGATGACGAGCGTACAGCCATCAGTGTCGTCAAATTCAATTCTGAAGTTGCCACCTTCTTCTATTGGTTGTTCATCTTTAAACCACTCCACTTTCGGCTCTGGCTCACCCGATATCCTGACCTCAAGCTTTGCGGCACTACCTTCGAACACCTTCTTGGACTTTAAGGGCTGAATGAACTTGGGAGACTCACCCTCCGGTTGTTTTGCTGTTCATGTAATGAGTAAGGAAATACTTCTATTCACAAGTTGGTGTCTCTTGCTCACTATGAGATATACTTTTAAACGAAAAAACTCGAGGAGAAAGACCCACCTCAATGAACAAGGTGGACTATCATGACTGTATTTTATACTTCGAAGTTTTAAATTTCGAAAAAAGAAAAAAATAAAAAGGATCAAACCACAGAGTGCTACTCCAAACAAATCACAGAAACGATGGCGACAACCCAAACCTCTCGCTCAGAACAATTTATGAAAAACTGACATTTATTTTTCGGTCATTCTCTGCGGCTGAAATATGGAAAACAAATGTTTCAGACTCGAAAACTAACCTTTTATATTAACATCGAAGGTTCTCGTTATTGTCCCAGACGGGCTGGTAGCTCTACACTGATAAATTCCAGAGTCTTCTGGTGTTGCAGCGACAATATTGAGAGACTGCCTCTCTCCTAGAACATCAGTCTTGTACTTGCTACTGGTTCGACTAATTGGTTGGTCGTCTTTGTACCACTTAGTGGACGGCTTTGGCTTTCCAGTTACTTCAACTTGCAGCATAACATCGCTTCCTTCATCAATCAACATCGGAGCTCCACTATCTTGGTCTGAAAATTGGGGTGGGATTAACTTTTCCTTAACTGTCAACCCAGCTGAACACACAGCCTTCCCAACTACATTGGATGCAACACATTTGTATCTCCCTTTGTCTTTAGTTACACAGTCATTGATAGTGAGCGTGTGGCGACCATCTACAGCTGAATCTGTAACAAACCGCTCATTTTTTAAAATTTCCCGTTCAGACGAGTACCACTGAACGTCAGGAAGTGGAAAGCCTTGAACCTTTACGCTAAAGACTGCAGTATCACCTTCAAATGTGCTGACCTCTTTCAATTTCTCTGAAAACGCTGGTTTACTCTGATCTTCAAGGTCACTGAGTTCATTTACCAGAAGTTCCATAGTGCTGATTGCTGATCCAATCTCGTTCTGTGCTTTACACTGATACTCTCCTTCGTCATCCAGCTCAGTGCTTAGGAAGAGAAGTGATGAGAACTCTCCATCGTAGTCGAAAATGACACGCTCACTTGTCTCAACAGGACTACCATCTATTAGCCAAGTAACTTTTGGATATGGTGTTCCAGTGACCACACAAGTCAGTTTGGCTGTACTTCCCTCAAGTACTTCCACAGGACTATTTACTGTTGTGACCTCCGGTGCGACGCCATCTAAAGAATCTTTCCCTTCAAGATAAATTAAGATGAGATTTAATGAGAGAGGTAAGAGGTTTAAATGGGACACTGTCCGATATTCATTTACCACACCCAATTTATTGACTAAAAAATTACCCTTATCATCAAGCAACTCTATCCAAACCTCGCCTCAATAAATACCATAATTACGTGAAAACACTCTTCAACAAATTTAGAAAAACATTCAAGTAAACATAGCTTCCGCAAATATTTTAGTGAAAGTAAGGAAATTATTAGTGGAACTATTAAAAAAAAGTATGATTGCAAAACTAACTGATAGCGAGCACCGACGCAGTGCATTTTTCGTGTATCTAATGAGGCACATAACCGCCTTCCACAATTTTTCATACGCAAGATTTTCTCTTTGAAAATCAAATTTGCTAGTATTACCTTTAATGGTGACCTTGAAGATACTGGTGCTATCATCATTAGTATCAAACTTGTAAATCCCAGAGTCCTCAGGTAAGGCATTTCTTATTGTCAGAGTATGGATGCCTTGTTTAGCATCAATATCATAGTGGGTACTCTGCATCAAAGGTTCATCATCCTTAAGCCAAATGACTTTGGGAAGTTGTGCACTGGTCAAAGCCTTCAGTGTTACGTCTTGGCCCTCTGTGACATCCACAGGAATCTTAGCAATATCTGGACTCTTCTGTGCAACTGATGAAGAGGTGACTTGCAGTTGAGCACTACACGAATCTTTGCCAGCTTCGTTCATAGCTATACATTTGTACAGACCAACATCTGATTGTTCACACTTTTCGATTACAAGAGAGAAGAGTTCTGGCTGATCATCATCCACGTCATCAATTATCATAATACGGCCCTCATCTTCAAGCTGTACACCATCTTTAAACCATTCCACGACTGGTTCTGGGTTTCCTACAACACGGATATCAAAGCAGACATTCTCGCCTTCGGTAATGCTTGTGTTTTTCAGTGGCTCTTTGAAAATTGGTAACGCCATTCCTTCGTCCACTATCACTTCAGAAGAACTTGACACGACACCTTGGTCATTCTCTATCTGACACAGATAGTCCCCTTCATCATCTAGAATTGAGCGTTGGATTGTCAGGACACAAACCACACCATCGAATGAGGTGGTTATTCGCTCATTGTCAGTCAGAAGAACATTGTCATGAAACCACTTCACGTGAGCATCAGAAGCTCCAGAGACATGACACTCCAAAGTGATTGGTTGTCCTTGAAGTACCTCTACCTCATCAAGTTCCTTGGTGATTTCTGGCGTCGAACTAATTGGCTTTGCACCTGTGACATGTACGTTGATCAACATTCATTATAATTCAATTTATTCAGCAAATTAGTGGCTAAGAAAAATAAGATCAACTGTCTATCTGGTGAAGAAAAAGCATATTGTAATAATGACACAAAATCATTACGAGTTAAACATGTTTCATCGATAACTGCAATTAAATTTTAGACGACTGCAATAAGCAGCTATAAAGCTTGAAAAGCATATCAACCATATGGTTCCCTTGGGCGAACAAATTGTATCAAGTTCATCTTTTTGTAAATCAAACTTTACCAAGAATTCCAGATGATGGATTTGGGGGAAACTGGAAAAATTAAACAACTGATCAATGCATTTAATAAGAATTCGAGAAAGTACTATCTGTGGAGGCACCCCGATGGTCAGAGGAGTATCATTCTCTTTCTAATGTTTGTCTACTAGCGAACAACGTGGCAAATCCGTACGAGAAAACCAAAATCGCGACTAAACTAAGACCAGTTAAAAGGATCCAATTTATTACTTGGAGAAACTTTCATCTGCCAGCAAGAAAATGAGAAATGTCTAAACTAGAGAAATTAAAAAAGATTACAAAAGGAAACCTCTCACTTTATAACTTCAAGATAAAGAGCTACCTTTAATTTTAACATCGAAAGCACGTGTACCAACTCCAGCTTCATTTGTGGCAGTAAGAGTGTACTTTCCTTTGTCAGAGATAGTTGGATTTGAAATCAGTAAGGAGTAAAGGTCATCTTTAGAAGTAATAACAATATGCTCGCTGTTTTGTAGAGGAACATCATCCTTATCCCACTCAACTTGTGGTGTGGGGCTACCCTGAACTCTTGCTGCAAGCTTAACATCTCCATCGACAGTCAGTTGAAAAGGAACGACATTGTCATCTTCAACAAAAGAAGGCCTTTCCAGTCCCGAAGGTTGTTCTGGGTGAACGTTCTCCGCTTCTTTACAATCAACTGAAAATGTTTTCCACGAGGAGCCAGCTTTATTAGAAGGCATGCATTTGTATACTCCTTTGTCCTCCTGAGTGGCACCCTTAATAACAAGATTCTGCACTCCAACTTCTGAGTTTATCTGAAAATGGTTACTTTCCTGTATGACTATTCCATCCTTTGTCCACTCTTCGTCTGGGGTTCCATTGAACATAACCTCCAGTTTAACATCACCATCCTCAGAAATACTTATTGGTGTCTCTAGCTCTGTCTGTTTTACAATTCTGGGAGGCACTAATGTTTCGTCTACAACTTCCTGGCGACTTCTGACCTCTTCAGGCCCAACACCACCAATGTCTAGAGTGTATGTTCTGGTCGACTTTCCAGCTGGGTTAGTTGCCGTGCAAATGTAATTCCCTTCGTCTTCTGGCGAAGCTCCTTTGATAAAAAGTCTGTGAACGTCTTCTGAAGAAAACAATTTAACCCGTTCATTTTCCAATATGGGTTGACCATCTTTTCTCCACTCAACGCTTGGTGAAGGATTCCCCGCTACTCTAACGTCCATGGTCACATCGCCATCATCTGATATTACAAAGGGGTTTGCTGTATGTTCCTGAAATGAAGGCATAACCCAGTCTTCATAGCCTTCTATGTTCACTTCAAAACTTCTCGTGGCAGTTCCAGCACTATTTGATGCTAAACAGACGTAAGTTCCTTTATCTCTTGGTGTAGGTCCACAGATCACTAACGTATATATATCTGTGTCATTGTTCCATAGGAATTTGCTTGTTTCTACCAGGGGCTTCTCATCTTTCAGCCACTTTACCTCCGGGAGAGGTTTACCTCTTACTCTCACTTGCAGAGTGACATCTTCATCTGCGTTCACTTCAAAAGGACTGAGACCTTCCGGCAAGGCAATAAAGTGCGGAGGTTCAAGATCAAAGTCTGCGGTCTTTCTTGAAGCTGTAAGCTTCTCTTTCGTGGGTCGAGGTTGATCCTTAGTTGCACCTGGTTCTCCTGATGTTACCACAAACTTTGGCTGGTTGGAAAAGCTCAGGGGTGTGGCCGACTCTGCATTAACGGAGACTTCAAAAGGCACCTCAAAGGTGGGTTCACTTTTATTTCCAAGGGGAATAATACTTAATCTTGCCTCGTATGACTCCTCTCCAACTTCATTAAAGGCAACACACTTGTATATGCCGGCATCCTCAACAAAGGTTTCTTCAATAGTTAGGGAAAACTTTCCCTTGTCAAGATCGTCTCTAATAACAAATCTCCCTTTATCTTCAATCGCTTTTTCATCCTTAAACCAATCGACTTCGGGTTCTGGGGTTCCTCCGATAATAGCACTGAACGTTGCATGTTGACCTTCTGATATCGTTTGGTTGTGTGGCTTCTTTTTGAAAAAAGGTGGACTATGATGTTGACTGAGATCTTCCTCCACTAGCACTTCACAATCTGTAGATGCAGTGCCAAACGCATTTCTAGCAATACACTTGTAATCTGCTTCATCATCGAGCTCTGTGCGTAAGAATATTAGACGGCAGTTTTTCCCATCAAATTCGGTACGAACACGTGTCGTTTGCCTAACTCGACAATCGCCTTTGATCCACTCGATGAATATTTCAGGAGAACCAACGACTTCGCACTCCAGAGTAACTGGAGAGTTCTCAATGGCTGTTGGTGACACCAACAACTTTGTAAACGTGGGCGCAGTTCCGTGCGGCTTTGAGGCTATGCAATAAAAAAGGGATTGTTTCTTCACATTTCCGTAAAGGTAGACCGTCTGTATCTAGAAGCTCGTCTGCGAGACGTCACGACAGAGGTATGAACGACGTATGATAAGCAGAATCAAACGTGTTACAAGATTTGGAAGAGGCCAGTTAGCCTACACAAAGACCGACTTCAACAAAGCCATAGCTCGTCCACAGACGACAAGTGAGGAAGAAACACTGCACCAAGGCAGAATGTACAAAGTACAGTTAGCAGAATAAAAAGCATTAGTTGAGGTGAGGGAGGTGCCTTTGATTGATAACAATTACAAAGTACACACAGAGCAATGGTTGAGCGATATAATTATGCTTTTAACCGACAATATATGTAAAGTATGCTGATACACTTAAATAATTTTATAGTGCTAGGTCGTTCCTCAGATGCTTACAAATAAAAGCCACCTTGAAGCCAATAGCTGAGAAAGCTGGGCAGGATTACTAATGATAAGGTTAAGAAGTATTTTACAGAATTAAACTCTATTCTATTTGCTTGGGCCTTTGTTGGTCTACCACTGCTCTTACAATGTTACATAGAGAACCTTATGTCAGTTGATATCATTTTACGAAGCAGCCTCTTAAATACCCGAACTAGAGCGTTTTTGGTATGCTGATTGCAGCTCACTAACGAAGTGTAATTCATGTAAAAGCAAACTGTTGCAAGCTTCTCCGACATTTAACATCTACCACAGAGCACATTGTTTAAAAAACAGTTCAAGTCATAGGAGCCACTAAAGAGCCATATGATTGGTCAATATTTTTATGTATTGTCCGACTCGAAATGATTACAAACGTATCTGGTCTCACACGCTTCTGCCATCACCAGTTAGAGCAATGCATGTTAAAATACACAAATTAATCTGAGGATGACATAGCACAGTGAAATATCTGTGCTACATGTACATGGAAGCTGCTACAAAAGATAAACATTGAAACAAACATCCTTACCTTCAATGTTAACGTTGAAAGTCCTTGTGGACGTTCCACCAGTATTATGTGCGATGCACTTATAAGCTCCAGAATCAGCAGGGCTAGCACTAGAAATAGTTAGGGTATGTTTGTCATCTTTGGCCTTTATGTTAAATTGACTGCTGTTCTTAAGAGCTGTATCATCTTTGACCCACTCCACAGTTGGTGTAGGCTTACCACTAACCATCGCCTCTAGCACAATGTCACCTCCAGCTTCAATCAAACTTGGAAAATAGGGCTCATCCGTAAACACTGGAGGGGACAGCTTTTCTGCAACAGTGAGTTCGCCAGTGCAAGACGTTTCTCCTGCCTCATTTGAGGCGGTACAGCGGTATGTTCCAGCATCAGATAACAGGCAATTAGACAACTCCAAGGAATGCATGTCATCATCGGAGAGAAATTCGTATCGTGATTCCCCTCGCAAAGACTCGTCATTCTTCAACCATTTTATGTCTGGTTGAGGTGTGCCAGACACCCGAACGTCAAATCGTGCCAAGTCACCCTCACATAACTCTATATTTGTCATTTTCTTGACAAATTCAGGTGCAACAACTGCCTCGTCAACAACAAGTTCTATAGAGCAAGAAACCTTCCCAACTTGGTTGGTAGCTGTACACGTGAATTCTCCGTCATCTGTTTGTTTTGCTCCCTTCACAGTAAGAGCGGATCGATTTCTGTCGAACTCCAGTTCAAAGCGGTGACTGTTTCGTACAAGTTTTCCATCTTTGAACCACTCAATTTCGGGTTCTGGTAGACCAGAAACAACTGCCTCAAATCTGGCTTGGCTTCCCTCGACAATGTGTGCTCCTTCAGGTCGAACAACAAATTCTGGGGCGTGCATCTCTTTTTCGACTTGCAGATTAGCAGAGCAAGTATCCGTGCCGCCACTGTTAGAAGCAGTACAAGTGTATTTCCCTCCATCTGAAAGCATACATTGAGTTATCTGCAATGTATGAATACGGCCTTCTGTGTCTATTTTAAAACGATCATCTGGAACAACAATGCTCCCATCTTTCAGCCACTTCAAAGCTGGTCTTGGTCTCCCACTGACCTCAACCTCCAAGTCAACAGCACCTCCCTCCACAACTGAGTTGTCTTCGAGGCGCTGGAGAAACCTGGGAGGAGTGACGTTTTCTCTCACCGTCAGTTGTCCTTCGCACGACACACGGCCGGCCTCATTTACCGCCGTGCAACGATAGGTGCCCTGATCCTCTGATGTGGCACCGTAAATGAGATAAGCATAACTTCCTCTCTCTTCGTTCTCAACAAATTCAGTTCTCGACGTAACTTCTTCGATTAAAACGCCATCCTTGTACCAATCAATATCAGGTTCTGTGCCTTGTACTCGTACTTCCAGGCGCACATCAGTATTTTCTGTTACGTCAACATTCCTCAGTTCATCCAAGAAAGAAGGCTTCTTAATCTTCTCTGCGACAGAGAGTTTCCCGGTACATGACGCCTTTCCAATCTTGTTTGTAGCTGTGACTGTGTACTCTCCATCATCGTCTGGAAGAACATCCATCAGAATAAGTTTGTAAATATCACCATCACATTCCACAAGGGTCTCCTCGTTTCCTTCTATCTTCTCACCACTGCTGGACCACTCTACATCAGGTGTAGGGTCTCCAGTAATGTGCACTTCAAAACGTGCTGTGTCACCCTCTGTTACACTAAGATCCTTTAACCTCTTCACGATTTGTGGTGGTAGCGGCGTTTCTGCCTCCTTTAGAACGCCGAGCACACCTTCAAGGGATACTTCACGTTCCACAACAACATTATGTGACGGAGAAATATCTTCAGTTTCTTGGCAAGCATTTCCTTGATTAACTAAAAGCTCCACTTGACATGACGCTTCTCCACTCTCATTGACAGCAACACATTTATAGATTCCTTCGTCATCTAGAGTCGCAGAACTGAATGCTAATTTACCACTAGGCAAGGAAAAAATACGACCAGTTTTTGGAATTTCTTCACCCTCTTCATTGAACCATTTAACAGTAGGCATCGGCGTACCTTCAACTTTCACCTCGAAGGAAACAACATCCCCTAACATTACATGTGTACTTTGAGGTTTTTCCAAGAAGGTTGGAGGTTTCCCGTGAGTTCTTCCTGGTTTAACAGTGAGGGGTGCAACACTCCAAACCAAACCAATATCATTCCTTGCCTGGCACGCGAATTCCCCTGAATCACCGAGAACAGTTTTATGAATAACCAATTTGTGGACGTTTTCAGTCCAGCTTGGTTTGTATTTTTCACTGGGTTCAATAAGAACATTGTTTCTAAACCATGCAACGTCTGGTTCAGGATTTCCTTGAATCTCCACTTCAAACTGTGCATTACACCCCTCCAAAACTTCAACTGGCCTCAGTTCTTTTAGAAATTCAGGTTTGATAGCTATCTCATCCACCAAGAGTTCAGCTGTACATTCTATTAATCCGAGAGAATTCTTGGCAACACACTTGTACTCAGCCTCGTCGTCCAATACTGTTCCGTCAATAATCAAAGCATACTTATTTCCCTCTTGGACTGTATGTGTATGCTCGTCTTCTACCACATGGTCATTTTCAACAAACCACTGCACAACCGGTCTGGGTGAGCCATCAACTATTACTTCCAACCGGACTGCATCTCCCTCAGTAACACGGAGAGTTGAAAGTTCCTTAATGAACATAGGTGCTTTACCACTAAGCCTTTTTTCCACTGGGGGAGGAACAGCCTCGACAACCCGCTGAATACTGGTTGGGAATGTTTCTTTACCTTCATCACTCACTTTGAGCTGTGCACTTGTGACTGCTTTGCCTGCTACATTAGATATAATGCATTTGTACTGCCCAGAGTCATTCGGTGCTATGTCTTCTAGTACTAGCAAAGATGAACCAGGTTCTGTGTCAATGTCCATACCTTCGTCGTCTTCAGAAACTTCCTCATCATCCAAATACCATTTGACTTTTGGCTCTGGACTACCAATGTACTTGACAGAAAATTCAACGGTGTTACCAGAATCAGCTGTAGAGTCGTAGAGTTTCTTTGTAAATCTTGGTGGTACAGTATCCTCTGCAACCACTAGCACTGCTTCGCAAGAGGCTGTACCGAACTTGTTCCTTGCCTTGCACACATACGTACCACCATCGTCATCTCTACAATTCGTAATTAGAAATGTATGTGTATTTCCTCTTGTTTGGATATCAAAGCGTGGCCCAGATTTTAACAGCTTTGTGTCCTTCAGCCATTCTACAAATGGTGTTGGTTTTCCATTAACTCTTACTTCTAAACAAAGTGGACTGCCGTCTGAAACCTCAGTATTTTGCAAGGCTTTGGTAAACTCCGGAGCTTTCCCTTTACCATTTATTGTCACTGTGGTAGAGGTAGTATCCTCTCCAGCAGAATTTGTTGCAGCGCATGTGTAAATCCCCTCATCATCCATGTCCGTCTTGAGAATGTGTAATAAGCATGTGTTGTCAGATAACACTTTCATTTTTGTCCTGCTACTTTCGTTAACTTGCTGTTGGTCCTTAAACCAAATTATATTGGGATCTGGTTTTCCAAGCACTGAGCACTTGAGCTTGACTGGGTCTCCCTCAGACACCACAACACTTTCTAACTGTGACGTAAATTTGGCAGGTATTTGTAAAGGTGATATGTACAGATGCGCGCATGATTCAGCAACCCCAGCCTCACTACTGGCTTTACAAGCATAGTCACCTGCATCTTCTAGTGTGCCATACATAAGAATCAAAGCAGACGTGTCTTCATCGTGAACAATTTCCAAATGCTTGTCTTGTTTAACTGGCACTCCGTCTTTAAACCAAGCTACCTCAGGTTCTGGCATTCCTGTGACTTTCACATCGAAACGAGTGCAAGAGCCTTCCACAATATGCACATCCTTTAAATGTTTAACAAAGGAAGGAGGGCTTGTTGGAGTGACTTGCTTTACAGTTAGTTTACAGGATTTTCTGACTTCACCGGCAGTGTTCTTCGCTCGGCATATATAGTTTCCTTGATCACTGCATCTCGCATCCTTGATCTCTAGGCTACAGATGTCATTTTCTCTGGTTGCATGGAAGCGCCTGTGAGGGTAAATTGTGATTGGTTGATCATCTTTATACCAAATCACTTCGGGTGGAGGTGTGCCAGTAACAAAGATCTGCATTTCTACAGAGTCTCCTTCTTCAATTGTTTTGTCTGTAAGTTCTGTGGTGAATTCGGGGGGAATAGACCTTCGACGAGATGTTGGCCTACTCTCTGTCATCAAATGGATTTCAGAAGCACTTATATCACCGGGTGTAGGAAGTTGAACTTCGATGGGTGCAAACCCAGTGCTATCTTGCCCATCAACAGTCAATGTCACTGACTGGGGTAGCTGATTTAGATTTCTGTAGGAGAGTAAAGAAACGGATTCTCAGATTGTCTTTAAATAACTTGTAAAATAGTGTCCCAACCATTATAATAAAAAAAATCTTCAATGTCATACTGACCTTTATTGAATTCTCTGAGATTCTCTGTAATAAATTCTACACTTCCACTATCTAATCATATTCTTAGCTTCACTGTCTTGATTGGCCTGAATATTTCAAACACTCATCTCAAGTATTAAAGTACTATAAGTGTATTACAGTAAACGACAGAGATTCTTTTACGTTTAAAAGATAATCAGCAAACTCAGTTGTTGAGAAGTACATCAACTAAAATTGCGGTATGACTTTCCTTATTGTACAGTATCGAAAGTTGGATGTAGTTTAGCTCCTGCATAATAATAATATAACGACAACTCTTGAATGGTTTGCACTTTTGCGAAATGAATAGATCCAGGTGAAGAGAAAATTACCGACTACCACTGCTTACTCGTGTAAATTACTGTTACTGGATTAAGAATAATTTTGTACAGAAATTTATATCAATACCCTTACATTGCTAAAACAGAGCTGTCAGTTTCATCATCCACGTCAAGTTCCCCCTCTGATTCACCAGCTGTAAAAAACGTTTTTTGTGTGTGTTAGTTTTTAATTTTAATTAAAGTTGAAAAAACCCACCACAACAATCACATGACACAACCAAAACTCCCATTACGTTATATTTCAACACAATACAAATTCTTTATCAGCTTGTGTTAAAATCAAACTAAGCCGTTAACTCCCATGGACGCGTCACACCAGAATTAGTAAATATCATAAATATCAGACATAGTTTGATGCTACTCTGGTTTGCAGATTTAATGAATGTAACCGAAGAAGTTACAATTCATAGACCCATTAATTCATAGACCATAAATGTAACTTCTTCGGTTACATTCATTAAATCTGCAAACCAGAGTAGCATCAAACTATGTCTGACTGTCCATCTGGTTGCCGTGTGAACTTTAATATATTTTATCATAAATATTTTAGAAACTAGGCATTAGTAATTAGTCATTAAGGCCTTACGCTTGACTGGCCGTGCAGTAACATGGCTCTGTGTTTTTATCTTCTTACATTCAACATTCAGGTCTGCCATGGAAGTTGCTGATCCAGCTACGTTTTTAGCACGGCATGTATATACTCCCCCATCCTCAATATCAACTTCTGAAATCTTCAAACTGTACAAATTGCCATCCTTCTCAGTATGAATGCGCTCTCCAGTTCTGATGGGAAGGTCGTTCTTAAGCCATACTACTCGAGGCTCTGGGGTACCACTCACACGAACCTCCAGGTGTGTTGGTTGGCCCTCAGCTGCCTTAAGATTTTCTAATGGCATAGTGAATACTGGAGCAACTGGAGCTGTGATTATGAGGAGCATATGCAAGTATAAGCTTTAGACAAAACATGAAACAACTCTAGTAAGGGGGTAGACCGTTGGATTTGGCATAGTTGGAATTTGGGTCAAGAAAGGTGAAAGGGAAATCATAGATAGCAAGCCTAAATTATGAGCTGAATAAATCTAAATGTACATTTTTTCACAATGCATTTTCCACGTGCTTGGAAACCAGTTAATTCTTATGTCATTTTTAAACAGCCAGATAGACCTTTTTTGAACTGCAAATGGACATGATTACTAAACAACACACAATTCCTATTTCTTTACGTTCTCTTCAAATAGCTCATTACTATTTCTATTCACATTTCACTAAATATTCAGGAGTATTATGAGTGCATTTGCGTGTGCATTTATGACTTGAGTTATCAACAGACCTGATGCGACCTCTACCAGTGCCACTTCTACAACTTCTCTTTCCGTAGCAGGGACAAAAATTTCCGAAACCTTTTCAGCGATCAGGAAAGAAAGCAGTGGATATTAGGAGTTAAATAAGGCCATGTCACCACCAACGAAAACTATCATATTTAGTCACCTCCCTCAGAAAAACGCCGCATTCAACCGGAATAATGTGGCATTTACTTAAGGATATGAGGGAAAAATAATAAAATCAATAATAAATAAATAATCTTCACCATTCTCGTTGTGTATATCACAATACTCACAATTACGAAAACAGTGGGAGACAAAGAAATTTTCTGTTTTACATAATATGTGTTCCAATTGCCGTCTGCGATTTAAAAAAATATGGTTCCTATCAGAAACGGATAAATCTAATGGAGGCCGCGGCTTGTGTCAATACGGATATGCGATTTATGTGCGTTCCTACCTCCTCTGGCGATTTGGATCCGGGCTTAGACCTGAGATTCACGGTGTATTCTGTGAAAAGAGAGAGAGAGAGAAATGTGAATTAAACCTACATCCTCGCCTCCGAAAAATGGCAGACACCATAAAGATATGGCACTGAGTTGCTCTCAACTGAATCATCATTTCCAGCTAGTGCCGACGAGAGGTTAAGCTGATAGGGTTCTTCATTGAGCAGGTTGCACCAGAGTCATTCACACTGGCATAAACTTGCATGGAATTACCTGCAGGCATTATGATTTCTGCTGTGGACTTCTTACGCTGAAGAACTGTTGCTGGAACCAAAATTTCATCGCCTTGGGAACCATCTGCGAGAAGTTTGACTACTTTGTACATTCCAGGGTGTGACACTCGATCCAAAACAACCACAGTCTCTCCTTTCCTGAGGCAAATGTTGTTGTGGTCATCTCTATAGTCGTCTAATGCTATACAGAACTCAACTTCTTTGGGAGTAGAAGCCAAAAGGATCTCAAACCTAGAATTAACAAATCCATTTTTTTAAATAATGCTACTCTATTCGATCCTGTGCTCACGCTGATGGTCCAAAAAGAGACCCACATCAAAAAGGGGGCTCTGAAGTAGAAGCTTCAGAAACCAGCACTGATAAGGGGGCTCTTAGGTAAACACCCTGTCTAATATTGACCAAAATATGAAACACTTACTTGGTCTTCTGACGAATTTCTGCACAAAGGCGATCAATTACTTCTTTGCCAGCCTGAACAGATACAATTTGGGTGAACGACCACAAGGACTATATTTAGCTTTCAAATATATATGTAAATTTACAAATGAAGAGGAAGTGGTACAAAAAATTATTAAAAATACAATTAAAACAATGTGTCATACCTCAATGTCAGCTGTGTCCACATCAGCCTTTTCCCCACACTCCAGCAGATCACTAAGAAAGGCTTTATATTCTAAAACACGTTCAACTGGCCGATCCAAGAGTTCTTTTATGGGACGAGAAGGCGCTTCATTTTCACATTTCTGTAAAATTTAAAGTAAAATAAAATTTAGAAAACGTCAATGAGACATGCCCAGCATGCTTTGGATGGCAAAAATGGCGAAAACACACCAGTTGCATAAGATTTCAATGTAGCTACCTTGAAGAAATCCTTTGGATGTGATTCCAAAAAGCTATCTGATTCACTCTTTCCATCACAAAAGGTTATGTATCTGTCAAGTTCATGTTCCTGGGTAGAAAAAAAAGTAAAGGTCCTTAGCCATACTAAAATGGCAGCATTATTACGGATTTTCCACAGGATAATTATCAGAAAATAGGAAGGGATGGCATAGCCGGCTCTTACCCTCTTCTTGAACACTTTTCCAACCTCTGATGGATTTCCTTTGCACTTTGCTAACTCGTCACAAAAGATCCTAACAAAATTGAAATTAAAGTCAAACTTAAATTTTCAGTTTTACCTAGATATTCGCAAAGTCAGGCCTCACAACATCTGTCTAATTCGAGGGCATTTGCTTGGTGAAGGAAACGCGAGCAAGAAAAACTAAATGTGGTTTTTTTCACTTTCCATATAGCAAAAGCAGCTACCTATCCTAAACACTGAGACATGCCTAGCTACATAGCGACAATCACATTAACAACATACACTTTGTGGAAGAAGAATATATCTTCTGAATTGATAAAGATGGTGTCTTTATTGTCCGCCAATTGAGATGGCGCGTTGGGAAGCTGATAGATGTAATCCTGAAAAATAAATCAAGGAACTTTACTCTCACAACTAAAAAATGCAGAGTCAAGAAATCTTAACTATCTACCTTTTTTGATACTAATTTCAAAAATAAAAACGTTACCTCTGCAAGTGACTTCAAGTCATCCACATAATTGCTCTCACTTTCAATTAACCTATCAGTGATGGCATTCATTCTACGCAGTTTAGCTCCTTTGTCTGAGGCAGGGGCTTCCCCATTCATAAAGGGATATGGAAGAGTTAACTCCACAGCATCAAAGTTGAAGTCATTAGGTGTTGTCATGAGATGCACTTCAGACTCAAACCTCGGTTGACCTTCATCAACTGAGTGGCCATTTGGTAGCTTGCTAGAATCAACATAAGGAGCTGACCCCCTTCGTGGGGTATCTGGTGGTGTGAAGATCAGAACTGAACCAGCATGTTGGGGTATGAGCAGCTCAGCATGTTTAGTATGCTGCAATCTGTGGGAAAAAGAACAGTTATTGCACGTACACAATGTATCTATGATTGACAAACAGTACAACAGTTAACTGTGTATCTCTCACAAACTGTAACCTTTTGAGGACTTACGGTTTGTGGGTATTTGCTACAGAGTCTTCAATTTTCCGACAGATGTTCTCGTTAGCTCTTTTCATGCCTCCTTCCACCCTGTTTATTTCCTCTGGGCTGGTATTTTCTGAGGTGTCTGGTGTACTTTCGACAGTTTTCTTAGACCGCACTTCAACACTCAGATTCTCAGAACTAGGCAAAGCACCAAATACATAGAGATTTGACATCATTTCTGGTTTTTCTGGCACCAACATCTCTACTTCAGTTCTTGTTTCTTGCTTGATACTTGTAGTGGTCTCCCTTGTGGTCGTTTTCCATACACGTTTTCTAGTTAGCTGAGCTTGGTCTGCTGAAGATGGTGGAAATGTTTGAGTGTGGAGGGCTGTTTCGACTTCAATGTCTGTGCTGACATAAGGCCCTAAGGAAGTCACTGTAACATCTTTCTTTACCACTTCTACACCCCATGGAGCTAAACCCATCTGATTAGGTTCTCGCTTAGTATCTTCACTGATATGAACCAGTATCTCATGTTCTGGGATTTCAACTGGCTTCAGAGCTTTTCCACCTTCAAACCAACCCTGGATCTCTGACTTGATGATAGGCTCGATCTTTTGCTCTGTTTCTGTACTAACTGGTTTGTCTGATCTCACTCGCACTGAAACCTGTGGACGCTTGGCTGGTCCAGCCTCTTCAAATACTTCCCAGTCCCCAGGTCTTTTACTACCCAAGACTCCATCAACAAATGATGACAACACATTTACACGTATTGGCTTTTCATACCCCGACGTGTCAGGAGTGGTCTCCAGCAATTCTTTCTCGTAAGCTTCCACACGCTCTGTTGTTACCTCTTCTGCCTGGAAGTTACAGAACAAAAAATACACTTATAGGACCTGGATTTCTTGATTCGTTGTAAAACATCGTGCAATCACATAAGTATAAATTTTCAGATAATACTACAGGTTTCAACTAACACATTGTGAATCACATCTCAAGATAAAGTGATGATTTCACCGACTGATTTCGTATTCATATATTCCGTGTATAATACATGACAAGTGAAATTGAATGGTACTTGGGTTAAAAAAATTGTTAAGCATAACTTTTTAACGAAACTTGTGTAGTACTTAAAGAAGTAATGACCAGCTGGATTTGTACCTTAGGAGGAAGTCCTCGCTGCTTTCTCTCCCTGAGCCTCTCTGCTAAACGAAAAAGGTCATTATCCATGAGATCAAACTTTGTAGTGATGTGTTTCTGTTTGGTCATAAGATCCTTTGCTTGGTAACGAGGCTCATCCATTGTAAGTTTCGCAGAGAGTTCAGCCAACTTCTTCAGTCGTGCCTCTTGCTTATTAAGCCCAGGCTTAACAAATCCTTCCAACATGTCCAGAAGGTCTATAACTTCCTCCTCAGTCTTGCACCTTTTTGCTTCATCTTGGGTGGTTTTCAAGAAGTGCTCACTATCACTGATCCAAACTGTTGCCTATTAAAAAGAAAAACACATACTATAAATGGCCACAATCAATCTGACTGGGAGAAATAACTGTTAAAGAACCAAGAATATGGGTAATAGAAAAGTAAAAGAAGGGGTGGTAAATTTGCCTGTATGTAACAGCAAATGGTTAGTGTAACACAAACAAAATCAACACTCTCATCTAATTCTGTTACTAATAAAAACATGAGTATACTAGTAACAAACCTGTTCATAAAGTTGATGGAACTCTATTGATGCTTCAAGCATGGCCCTATGGTCTTCCATCCTGGACAAAAATCTCTGCCAGCGGGCTTCCATTGCAGAAACTTGTCGCACAATGGCAGGTGCATCATGATGATTTAATTGCTTCAATTTCTCTGCTTCTTCTACCAGTCTACCAACTTCCACATCAGCTGGCTGTAAAAAATATTTTAAATGCACTTATGTACCTCAAATTGAATCTACAAAACACTATATTTAATAAAAAATAAATTAAAAAAAAAACAGACCAGCAGATGGGGGAGATAAATGATCAGCTCTCTGACAGTTTTAACACCAAGGTATTTACAAGCCCTATCAAAATTAATCTTAATCTCCCCTTAATAGCAACTTGAAAGAAAAGCAAGTTATTATCATTTTCATTTTCATCATTATCACTATTATTATTATAGCTACCTTGACAGACTCTAGAAATGAATCTGACTCTTGAAGCAGAGTAACAGCATCAAGTAAAGTGATTCCAAACTTTCTGTTCAAAGCAAGCAGTTCTCTGGTGTGCTCTTCTATGGTCAAGTTGACCTGATAAAAATAATTATTGATAGAAAGTTGAGTAAAAACTCTCTCAACACACATGAAAATGACTGAGACCAGTTCAAACATTGTAAACTAAAACTTATAAAGCTTCATCTATTACACTGAATATTCATTTTAGAACATAAAATAATTAAAATAGCATTAAGAAGTAGGGCCAATAAATATTCCCATAAAATCATAACCAAAGCATTTCAAATTGAATGAGCTCCATACACAAAGGGAGTTGACAGAAATAAAATGTCAAGAAGGAAATATCCCCTAATAAAGAAAAAGAAAAAAAAAAACAATACCTCAAGCTTGAGAAAGATGATTTTTGTCTTGTCACGAGCAAGATAGCGTCATGTTTGTAGATCTGAAGGTCTAAGGTTCAATTCCTCATGGGAACGCAGAATTTTTTCTTTGTCCCACACTCGTGACAAGACAAAAAACATCTTTCTCTATCACTTTACTGAGCTCAAAACTTACCATCTCTCTTATTCTAAATACCTCATACTGTTATCTATTTCACTTTGTAAAAATTGAAATTACTTTCAAAGGTAATTGAGACATTTCAGCCTTTACATACTTCTAATAGAGTTTACAAACATACCGCACTGATAGCCTGCTCAAATTCACACAATCGCACACTTTCTAACAACTTGTCCCTATGGTGCTCCCAAAGAGACCTCCATTCCTCATGTCTTCCTTCTGATCTCTCAAGGAAGCCCTTGATTTCATCACGAGACACAGAGACAGCTGCTGAAGTGGCAGCCCGGCTCAAGACATCCTGTGCACTAACAGTGGTGAAGCTGTACAGGTCTTGAACTGTCTGGTAGTTGGCAAGATGGTCTTGTAGCAGGAGCTGGGCATTGTTGATGTCTCTGGGGAGGGGTTGGCTTTGAAGGCCATATGTCATTTCATCCATCATTTGGAGAAGCTGAAATGAAATCCAGTCAGGAGAAAAGTTATTTTCCTGATGTTGTAATTCTCTAGGAATCAAGAGTGCACAAAGCACCACCAAGAAACCTCAAAATGAGTTCATTCAACCTATTAATGCCCTGATTTGAACCTTGTCTGGGTGGGGAATTGAAAGCATAACTGTAAATTCTCTCCAGTGGAATACATGTTTTTTATCTTTTAATGTGGTGGTGTTAAAAGGTAAAGAGTTTAATTTCATAAGCAGATGGCTCTGAAGAAAAGGTCCACAAGAAAGTCACAGCTACTGATCTTGCCACTTGCAAAAAAATTTACCATCAAATTCAGCACTTAGGCAGGGCATTTGAACACAATTTTAACCTGTGGGGAAGGGGGCAGGAATTTGAATAAACTTATCTTCAAAAGTTCTAATGCCAAGGAGGGGATGTTCAAGCTTCGAAATGATCATTGCAGATCTATGAAATGTTCCTGAATGTATATTTAATGGTTGCATTAAGAAATGGAAGAGTGTCAGTAGTTCAGTTAAAGATAATGACACTTTTACTGTTATGCAAACATAGAACAAAAATAATGCAATAAGGAAAGCTGTAAGCAAAATGATTACATTTTAAAATTCCTGGCAAATTTATTTGATAGTCTTTTTTTCCAACAGTAACAAGTAATTTCTACTTATAATATCAATACTAATCAAGTAAACATATAGTGAAAATAAAGAAAAGATCATTTCAAGGATGTTACATAATCCAATGCTAATTCTCAGAACAAAAACTCTACAAAATGTATGACCAAATTTATAACTATTGAGAAATTAGGAATGAAAGGGGCAGATTACAACACTTACTTTTTCCACACTAGTGTAAAATGTTGCTGACATTGACAGCAAAACCTCATAATCTGCTAGCAGGGTCTTAAACCTTTGATAAGCAATCTGAAGTTCATCTGTAATGACTCTAATGGCTGCTTTGTAGCTACCCTCTGCCTCTGACAGCTCCTCTGCAGCGCGCAGATGAGCTTGGACATCTTCATCAGTACGCTGAGGGAGGAACCAAAAACAACTTAGAACTACATGTGAAGAAGAACAAATTTCAATAGGTGGTCTTTACCCCGTACTATGTACATTTTACATGAACATTTACAGACTAACTTATACTGCTTTTCTCAGACCAGTTTTAACCAGTTTCACACAAAGACTAAATATTGATGAAAGGCGCATGTGAGGTTTAGAAAAAAATGGTGTCCAGATGTTAAAAAAGTAGTTCTTTCCAGAAGCTCACAGAGCAAAGCCCTTCAACTCCCTATACTTTCAACCAATTCCCCCAAGTAGAGCCCAGGTTTTAAATTTGAAAAGAATGACTTAAACTTCTCTCTATTTCTTACCCTTGCAGCATCTTTGAACCTTTGCAGCTTGTCTTCTAACTCTCTTGGGTCAATGGGAAGGGAGCTGTAGTCTACTTTGACAGGGAAAAATGTATCACTCTGTTCTTTGATCCATAGTATGACCTAAAACAATGACAACAGAACACTGTTTAGAAAAAAAAAAGGCCTAGAACATGACATCTCAGGTAGTTTATTGATTTTAATGCCTCTGAAGATTAAACCGTTACAGCAATCAATATTCCAAAATGGAAAAAAAAGGTAGATTTGCTGGATTACAGCATCAAATCAATCAATTGTGTATTTTTAGTATGGTTGACACCATTGCAAAATAAAACTTGAAGGCTTTCTTTAGTCCTTTAGAAATCACTTTGGCCTGTACTGAGGGCATATCAAATAAGCTCAGTTTCACTCAATTTGAAGATGGAAATAACTCTCAGATTAGGACAGGTTCCTGTTACAACTTAATAACTACAAAGTTTACACTTAACACTTTAATCACTGTGAGTTATGTAAGCCTTCCTGAGCATGCATAGTGTGTTCAAATAAAGAAATACAAACAACAAGACTTCTTACCTCCCTCGTGTCTTTTTCAAACTGCACAAACTCAGCACTCAGCTGCCTGTTCTTGTTTAGCTGTTCTTCTCTTAGGTTCCAAAGCTGGCCAAGCTTATGAACCCTCGCCTCTAGAGTTGCCAGGAACTTCTGTATGCAATCAGCAGCTGCCCCTCTGTCCAAACACTCCTCTCTTGGTTCCTACAGAAAGATAAAACAATACATGCTTTCCTCTTTAAACCATGGCCAAAAGCTCTTTTAGTGTTGGGAGCTACTTACTTTTCGCAACTCATCAAGAAGTGCCTGTGACTCCCTCTGCATTTGTCCAGATGCTGAAAGAATGGCATCCTGCAGTTGTTCTTGTCGTGCAAGTAATGTGGGTGATGCATCAACATTCTCCTTAGGCTCATCACTTGTCAGCTGATTGAAGAGCTCGTCCAATTTCCCAAACAGCTATCAGGAAAGCAAATAATTGATCAGGAAACTTAAAACTTGCATTGAACCTTTTTATCTGCTCTACAATCATTTTGCTATATAATGCACCAACCAGTTGTCTGTGGCGATGGAAATCAAAGTACATTTTCCCCAACTTAAGCCGGTATTCAAGTCGAGCTGAAAACCTCATCCACAGATCCTGAATATCTTTAACTTTAGCACTATCTTTTTTCAGTTGCATATTAGATGCATCAATAGCTTTGGCCATTTGATCTGCAAAAACCTGCAAAAAAATAAATATTTGGTGAATACTGCAAAATTTTTGTCAGGTATAAATTCTGTACTTAATTGTTGCAACTACTTTGTGCCTTTCTTGCTCAGCTTTTGTGGCAAAACAAATACCATCTTTCTTTACTCTCGGATTTGTTCCTTCTTCTGAAATCCCTTTGTGGTGAGAACCCCAATGGTAAAATTATCACATAAGTTTTAAAATTAATGAAAAGCTTATCATGTTACAGGTAAAATAATAAAAATAACCTAGAAAATGCTTTCTGATTAATCAGCTCAAAAAACACTTACTGTCTAAAGAATAATGAGATGGTTGCTTAACTAGTGCATTTAATGGCTTGAGTGAAGATCTTATCAGTAGCAAAACTCTAAACTAGAACCTGGTCATAAGCTGCTGCAAAACCTTGCTGAACACAGGTGTGCTATTACCAGATGTTTTGTTGGATCTGGTAATACAGGTATAAGTAGTAAGCAAGTAATTTACCCAGTTACTGTTTCTGACCTGTCTCTCAGAATCCATTTCTTGATGTGAATACAGAAATTCCTGTGATGTTTTGACAGAATCACCCATTGCAATGTTGCTATCAAGAAAGTCTTCACCAACATTCCTAATCCAACCAAAGAGCTAAGTAGAAATAAAACAGTACATGGTAAATATTGGCATATTATTGATCAGTGATACGTCTACTCTAACCCTAACCCTCTCCAATGCATTAAATAAATAAGACCCCCACCGTCTCAACCAATCATACACTAAACCAATGATCAGTCATTAATTAATTACTTGCATTCCCCTTCACTTGTGGTATAGATATGTGTTTACTGAGTCCTCTCCTTCTTTTCTTGTGATATCACCTTCTTCTGATACAAAACACAACCTGACTGTCTGTTTTAGGCAAGTTTCACAAAACTGGATAAAGATCAGAATCTTACATCTTCAAATTCCTTGTCTGCAGGATCAGGTTCAACGTCAACAAGCATAGCTGTGCTGCGCTCTTGCAGTTCCTCATACATTCTCACTATGACAGGTTGGTGTTTCCCATCTGCCATCTTCTCTTGCAGTATCTTTCCATCTCGCAGTTGAGCTGCAGATGCTGCATTAATTGCTCCATACAGCTCCTTTTGATCTTCAATGGTTAGCTTCTCTTCTGTAATTTTGTCTCTTATTTCATCAAGCTTATCATGTGCCTTAAAGAGACAAGAATAGAAAGGAAAGTTTTGCCATTAAAATTTAAAACTAATGCTAAAGACAGCTTTGACTAATATGTCTACAGTTTTAAAAAAAATCAAACATAACTAATACTATCATTTACTCTGATGTTTTTCTTGTAAAAAGATAGTGTATCTGTCAGTAGTTTCCTTCTGTCTTCCAAACGTTCTTTGAATAACTGCAAGTTTGTTAGAAGCAGGGTAATTTTTTGCTGTGTTTCCTGTACATCTCTGAAATTTCCATGCACAAGCTTTTCTGTTTCTCGAGCAAGCCTCTGGCAAGCCTCTTCTTTTTCCTGACAACAAAAAAGAAACTTTTCCATCACATTTTTTTTCAATTCTATTATTTACAAAATCTTATAAAGTTGTCATCAGATGCTCAACTGCTCATCTTTAGCATGTAACAACACATTATCTGATTGTCAATTCTTTGAAATTATAACTCACTAACCCTTCACTTAAACAAGCAATAACTCCAAGAACTGATCAAATAGTATATATAAGAATCAAGTGTATAGTGAGGCCAGCAAGTTGTGACCAACAGGCAGCACCCTGGAATAAGCACTCAATTCCTGCACTCACTAGTTATGAAAAGCCAAGGACAAGTTTGCCAAGGAATCAACAACAATTCTCAAATGTACCTTTGCCACTTCCTCAAATTTATAGTGTTCATCAAGAAGAACTTGAGTTGAAGGTGATGAGTCTCCATAATCTTGATAGCTGATATAATCCTCTCCTTCTTCATTAAGCCATTTTGTGATCTGTTAGATTGAGTTGTAACAAAAGTTACACTTAATGATCACAAATATCACCTTCTTTTGCCATGTTTAAAAATGCTGTTAGAGTTATATGTTACTTTACCTAATATAAGCATATCAGTATTAAAAAGGTGTCATGTTCAGCAACACAAATGACCCAGTGAGAAAATGATCCAGAGACTCAGGATCAAGGGTCCAAACCACAAACCATTCAGCTTCAATGTCAATAAACTAGAATTAGGAACAATTTAATATCTCAACAATTTTGGATCAGTCACTTTTATAATGGTCCACACCCTTCTGATACCTTTCTTATTTCTTCATCAATCTTGCATCTTTTCATACACTGCTCCAAAACTTTTTTTCTCTCTTTCCACTGTTCATCAAGCTGCTGTCGCTTGTGCTGTAGTGCTTCTAGAATACGCTCCACACTGTAACATGCTGCTTTTGTGGCATGACGATTGTTAATGTCAGCATGTGAACTGGCCTCTCGTAATTTGTCCAAGAGAGCTTGTCCTTTGGATAAAGTCTGCATGGATAATTCCAATACACTTTTTCTTAGTTCTTGATGTTGATGAAGTAATGATGATGATGATGTCACATCTTCCACTAAAAGGACTCGGCTGATCTCATCTTCTGAGGCATTGATTTTGTCAGAAAACTGTCAATTAAAAACAACAACAAAAAACATTATAAACTGCACAGTACTGAGGTCATAGTAAAATAATGGTTAATGAAAAAGTCATTAAACTGTACAAACCTTCCACATTTTATTTACTAAGGAATTATATAAAATGATGGTCACACTAATACTAGATCTAACTGATTTGAGCAATGATAAGGAAAGCAAATCTATCAAATTCAAGTTTAGGAGGTTGATTCTAAAAAACAAAATGTTTGTGCACTTCATGGACAGATCTAGGGAGATGTTCAAGATTATGTAAGGGTGTGCCTTTACTAGCCAATCACAGCCCCTTGTGGCCAGCTTAAGCTTCATCCTATCTCAGATGCTAAGGAAGATGTCTCATCCAAAGTAAGTATGAGATGACAAATCCATAATGCTACCTTACACTTATGAAATCATTAAGAAAAGGAAGAAACTGAAAGCCTCCAAAGAATCAAACTGTAAATGCAGCAAAGAAACTGCCAATAACTAAGTGATATCTCAAGAGTAGGAAAATATCAATTTAGATGGTGACCAGCACTATTTTCTATTCAAGATAAAACCCTTTGTCTCTCAGTTCAGACAGGATGTTTTGTTCATTAATTTCTCCCTTGAAGATTTTCCAATTAGAAACATTTATATCTCAATTAATCAAACCTGAGGATATTTTTAGCTCAGTATAATGCTATTAAATTCCTCTTAATTTTGAACATTGTCAATGAAGAAAAATTGATTAATGCAATCCATCAAAATGTTGACTGGTTATAACATTTCTCTCATAACTATTAACTTCATTAAGCTAGCTTTGGTTACATCACAGCTTTTAAAACATAGAGACAAGTTAACATCATGCTCAACTGGCCATTATCAACAAAACTTTAACAAGTCAGATTGCAGGGGATCATATAAACCTAGAATATCCCCTTATGGCTATCACTAATGAAATGTAGATAACATGTTTTCATTATCGAGACATCCAGATTACTCCCTGAGATAAAAGGCATCCACACAGATGCTCAGTTTATCTACAGCTACTGAAGCTACATGTATTCAATAGCAGTTTAAAATTCTTACCAACTAAATTCTATAAAACCTAAACATACATGTACATTCCTAAATTAATAACTTCCCAAATCAGATATCATAGATGCTTGGATAAATTCCAATTAGCTACACATACAAAGGCTGTGAAGGATCAGCTTTTAATATCTGTAAAACAGAAGGACATGGAATATGACAAGATTTGGTATTACACCAAAAATCATCTGTAAAGATTGATTACTCACATTCTGTGGCACCATAACAAGAAAAGTGCAAAGGACTATATTGTAAAATGGACAGACAGATGGAACGACTAGATCAAAACCCTTAACCATGCAAGTTTAAAAGCGGTGATTTCATCCCATAAAAGGTATCATCGTCAAAAATCTTAACATTAAATACCAGTTACCTTGCATTCCACAGATTTTTCAATGCAAGATTTCTTCTTACAGGGTCACCCTTTTAAATTTTTTTTATCAAGTAAATGTTGCATTCTATATGCAATGTAAGTTTTATCAGACAAATACAATATGAACCATAATATATACCTTATATGTATTGGAAGCTTAAAAAAGCTGTCAGAGGTAAGTACATATACACATAAGACTCACAAGCAATTAAAATTCTGCTAATAATTAAGTAACTCAAACCATTTCTTTTCATAAGAATAATTTTGAAAAATAAGAGGGTAAATTGTGAATCAATAAACTTAGGAAAATTGAGCATATTAAATGCTTTTTGCCATAAGAAAAAAATTGGAATAATTGTCAGCTGAGTTCAACTAACTTCTCATAGTACTCAGTATTCTGCACAAAGCCTGCCATTAATGTCATTAAAAATGAAAATATTTAATTTGATCTTTTCCATTAAATTACCGATATCCTAATCAGCCAAATATGATTCTAAAAGCAATTAATGAAACAGTGAAGGTCAACTTACAAACAACCTTGACAGTTACAAAAATTCCTAATAACACTCAGCAGAGTTCAGGGCAGATGCACATGCTCTTTTGGAGCACACAAGCCTTCTCCAGTAAGAGTTACAAAAGATTTACCACTTCATATGACCGGTGACCTTTCACCCCCCTCCATTTGCAGTATGTCACTCAAAATACAGAATATAAGTCAGGGGTGAAAAGAGGGAGTTAAAACTAAAATGATGGCCTTTCTAAGGCTTTTTACCTACTAATATAGAGGAATCCAAAATATAACAATTTTTCCTATTGCTTTGTTGATGGAAAAAGTCAAATGTGATATGAACTGAAGGTTTTTTCAGTTAATGTGAAAGGAGTATCTCTTTGCAGAGCAGTATTACTAAATTGCGACAACATGGAGTTCAGTGTTGTAAGATCATAAACCAAATATTTATGAAAAAAATAAAAAACTTCAACTCCTGTGGAAATATTAACACAGTAAGAGTAACATATGACAAGTATCAATGAAGGTTTCAGAATCATGACAAGTTAATTCACACACCCAAACTCAATACAGCTGTATTGGAGGTCATCCACATCTATTTACATCATACCTTCTCTACACTGTGATGAAAAGCCACTGATGTGTCAAGAAGTATTCTCCTTCCCTCTAATTGAACATTGAGGTCATTCCAGGCCTCTTCTAAAGAATCTGCCATCCTTCCATAGGGTCTGGAAGCTTGATCTTCTGTTGAGGCTACATGTAGTGACTTGATGATCTGAATGAGCTCAGAAACTTCTCTCTCTTTCTCCTGAAAATAAACATTTTAGGAAAATACCATACACAAATCATAATTAATATCTAAACTAATGGTATAAAGGAGGTATACATAAAAATTGATGATAAAATAGGTAACCAATACAGTGATTGAGGCCAACAAAAAACATCTGAAGGTAATAAAAAGAAAAGCATTTCAAGTGCTACTTAGACAGTGATGTGATCTGAACTGGATATGCTTTCATAACTGATTTATTTATGAAGTTTCCAATAAATTGATACGGTGCCCTTCATCTAAGCTGCAAATAACCCTAAAATGGGCAGGGTGTATTTCACGTGGTAAGACAAAGTAACTTAATATTCATAACATATCTTGGGGTTAATTGTAAAAGTCCTTAACATAATCTCTCCAGAGCCTCTTCAGTTACAAATACCTCATACAAATTCAAGCTTATTGGGTATTGTAGACAATCAGTGATATTTTATTTAACCTTTTGACCTTGTTTACCACAACAGAATTGTTCCCTAAATTTCTTGAAGAGATTTCAGGCATATGGTAAGAATGTTTTGGTTATAATCAGTATGCCCCTTTCACGAAATACAAAACATCCGATACAAAATTTATACACGAATTGAGGGCCACACAAACTAAAGTCTTCAAATCCTTTGAAGAAAAAATTCAGCTATCTAGCACATGCTGAGGGATACTTTTGCACAAACACTGACGTAAGGACATAAGAGGTTTGGTTAATCTCATCAAAACAATCTAAAAGAACCAAACAGACGGTCATGTCATGCATCATGAAGAAATTGAATTGTTCAGGAATGTTTCCCGTAGATGATTTTTTTATCGCAAAGAAAAAAACAAGTCTTCAACGCCAAATCGTGATTAGTTAACATGGATTCGCCTCTTAAATTCCATCTCCTTGAGTTCATTAACATCTAACAAACAATCCTTTCGTTTTGCTCGATCGATCTCAAGAGTTAATTAGAAAGGTTTCACATCCCGCAACCATGTTCATAGGAAATTACATTATCGTCATTGCCTCTGGCGTTATAATTAACACGAAACGTCCATTTCATCGATTATCGTCATATCGATCTACAGCCAGATATACAATTCACTTAGTTTAAGATGAAATCTGCCCTTCGTGTTTAGCATCTGTGACTGAAATCCTTAAATACTTTTTCTTCTTAGAATCCGTGTATTTTGTAAACAGTGACCTGTAATTCCTACACAGACATAGCCTCGATCAAACCAAAAATCTTAGTAATGTTCTCGCTAAACAAGAATCTTCCAAGCCAGGCAAGTACATAAACTCAGGACTCTGTGATATTGTGATCGACCTGAATGTTTCTGTGGTTGTATACAAATTGACAATTAGTATTTATACACGATAACAATGATTCACTGCTCTTTTGCCAGCATGGATTCGCACCATCTTTCAAACGCATGATAGTTATTAAGGCTCCCAGCTCTTTAAAGCACGAAAAGGAAAGAAAATAATGATCGAACGCCAAACTAAGTGCGATAGAACACCTGATCGAATGAACAGAAGCTTTAAGGATGTGTTACTTTTCACTTTAGGTGAGTCAGGACGAGCAATCGTGACACTAAAATGGCTTCTCCCTTGGCATTATCCAGGATGAGAATGGCTTCCACGAAAATAACTATTAAAAGTGCTTTCATTAACTTACCTCCTCTCAGGATTTCGATACTCAGAATCCAACAATGGTGAGTTAAATTGATGCAGCAATATTCAGCCAAAAGCTCAGGTCGACAGTTAAGGCTGATTACTTATGCAAACTTAAAATGCCGAAACATGCCAACCCACTTAAAACCAGCCACATTCCATCGCGCTCTCCACGCCCCAGTGAACAAATACTTTTCATACTTGAGGCTAATGTTTACGCGCATTTGATCAGAACTCGCTTGGCTGCGGTCAAAACGAAAGGCGTCACATTACATGTCTGGTAAATAAAAACATAACAGAAAAGCGAGGAACGAGCAAAGACGATTTGTAGTCCAAGCTATGTCACGTCGTCGAGTATAACTGTATGTAAACTTCGTGTTTACAAAGGTCAATTAATATACTTTTCTATTTGCACTGAAAGAAAGAAAACGCAGCTGGCGCACTTTGATATCATGGCGTGACGGAGACAATTTATCACATGGTGAATATTCTCCCTTAATAACTTAAGATAATTTTTATTACAAAACGGTTCGAGTCTATACAAATTCCATAAAATGTAGCGTTTCAAATTCTGACAACTTATTATGCGGGATGAAGGTTTTTCCTGGAAAGACAGCATTAACTTCTCGGAAATTTGGATGACCTTCCGGCTCTCACATTCAAAGGATCTGTGCTCTAAAATTCGTCATCTTTACAAACTGTTTATATCAAGCTCATTCTTCTCATTCCCTTGCAACTTCGACCGTGCACTTGGAAGTGTATGGTATGTATGGAAATTTTCAAATATGGGGGTTACTCCCAGTATTCTGGTGTACACAAGAAAGTTTATAGTGACGAGCCCACGAAAAACCAGAAGCGTTGCCGCCGGTGGTGAAACCATTCCCCTCTAAGTTACTCCGAAAATCTTATCGATACTAGTCATATTTTTTAAGTCTATGTTGAAATGTCACCTTTGTCGGAAGCAATGCTCTTAGTCATCATGTCCTCATTTTACACAGGTGCTGAAAACTAATAGCCTTGATAGATGCAAATGTGGCTCCGCAGATAAGTTTAAAAAAAAACGCCGGGCAGGCTCTGGACAAACAAGAGCACTTCCCAGCCCAACTTTGTTGTTGTTGTTTTTTTTTAAATAAGCCTAAGTTCAGATGTATCCTTAAATAGAAAACAAACATAAGTTTTGGAATAGCTTTGCACTTCTGAACAAACTGCTCATAATCTCAACGAGTTTGAAAGAACCTTTCAACGGAAATTCTGTGAAGATTTTCGAGCTGCCATGCATCTAGCCATTAAAAGACAATCACAGAACCAAACATGAACCTGATGCCTAATGAACTCTCCCACGTCTATTTCCCCGAACTAATTCCTTCTTTATTCGTAGAAAAAAAAAAAGTCCACTGGCATTCGGTTGTCCGGGTAAAAGTTACGACCAATGGGCTTTGTTTCGCGTTAGGCCATAACACAAAACCACACATCGATTCTTTATTTACGTTTCTTTAACTGGAATAGACATACACTTCATCACGGATACATACATCCTCCAAGAGCCATTCAGTCTCGACTTCAGTACGTGTTTTCTAAAGAGGTTAACCTTAAATGTTTTTCGAATCTCGCATGTTTTGTGACGTTTCGAGACAACGGAAAATTCAAAGGCAGATATGTTCTAAATCACATCTTTCATACAATTGTTCTCCCTTAATAAAAAAGCTGCTTCCCTTCATAACGCTATTAAACAGCATGAATATATTATGTCGACCAATCCGCACTACACAAACGCATCATGTGATACAAACCTTGAGTCTTGCTTCCAGTTCCTGTAGGTCTGCACTAAGCGCTTCAGCCTCTGTCAGGTTTTCACCAATCACGTGTTTTTTCTCTTCTGTTTCGCTAGTTCTATCTTTAACCCAATGAAGAAGCTTTAAAGTAACAAAGAAGAGAGATTTTATCACCTTCAAAAACTGATAAACGATAGGCGAGAAGTTAACCCCATAGGCTATACTTTGGTCGCAAACGACTAACCACACAGACGTTCTTTTCAAAGTGCTACTGCGTCACCAAGTTGTTAAAAGTGCATCACTAAGATTACAAGGAGTAGAGTAATTAGAACTGCAGATCAAACCTTCTGTTTAAGACTATTATATTCACACATGGTTCACCTCTCGCATCTGTTGCTCATAGTCTCCGAGTTTCAACCAATGCCGTAGGCGCTCGTCCCTGTCTAGCCAAACTCTTTCCCAGGCCATTTTTCTCTCCTCTAAGTCGGCCAGAGATTCCTCGATGAGATGAGGAGGCCGATTTGGTGCACCGTTCTCCCCAAACAGGGGAGGTAACTGCATTCTGTCAACCAAGGCTTGCCCCATGGCAACCGTATCAGCGTATTCTTTGTCGATGGCCTGTCTTGTGCCAGAGTGTCGGCGAATTTCTTCCTCGATTAATTCAGCTGTGAGGTCTTCTAGGAGGTCCTCTCGCATGTATCTCTCTCTGTGCTCCTCAATTTCTTGGACAAGCTACGTGAGGTAAAAAATTGTTTCTGAAGTTTGTCAAAGTAGAGGCCAAAGGGTATTCTGTATATGATTATAAAAAAAGTTGAACTGTAGATATAACCTCGGCCTCTCACGGTAAAGTTGGCTAACGTGTCGGTAACTCCTCACAATTCTTATCAGCCAGTACCTTACGTCGAGAGAAACGGGTACAACAGCTAGGTCTTAAAGCTTCAACAGAAGTCGAATGTATTTGCTATTCAGCAATTAAACCCGGCATTAAACTTGCACTACTTCCTTAAAGACTATGGTCAGTTGCTGCTATTTTACCTTCTCCGCGCTCCGATGAAACATGAGCGCCACAGACAGTCTTGCTCCTCGCTCAGCCATGGCCGATGAAAATTCACTCCAAGCGCTGTTTAACCTTTCCTCCATTTGGTAGTTTGGAGTCAATTCATAGCGACAAGTGCGGCGAAGAACTAATGAGGCCTGGAGAAATTGTCGACCATAATCATAAGTACTCTGCAAAAGATCAAAATCATCCTCTTAATATTCTCGTTCGGATGAAATTGTTGTTCAGAATCTTTAAGATGTTCCCTTCACATCTTGATAGTGACTGCTCACCGCAACTATCATTCACGAAGACGTGACTCACTGACTTACGTGACTTACTGTGTCATCGTCTGACAAAATCCATGTTTCATAAACACGTCAATCCCAAATAAGTTTTAACAATGCTTTAAGCTTCCACCCGCAGAACCTATTTGAGATGTACGTTCATATCTGTCTCGTTCAAGGACTACAACGATACTCATCTTAAGCGGCATCTTACTTTAGCTGTAGTCTCAAGTTTCTCGTGTTCCTGTTGCAAAGCCTCGATATCCTCTGAGTTTCTTCCCACATCTCCCAAGTTATGTTCTGTAGCGTCACGCAGTTGACTTATCCACACAGTCGCCTGATTAATTCAAATTCAGACATAAGTTGTTCTTCATGCTTATCAGATAACGAACCCCACCCCCGAAGGAAAACGTAGTCCTATTATCCCTGATTATGAAAAATGTAAGAAATCTCCTCAGTAAAAAAGCATTTATTCCTTTTTCTCAATGTCTTTGAAACCTTCCGTTACTTCTCGCTTTCACAGGAAAAATCTGAAATTCGGAAGTGGATAAAGAACAGATTATCTTTACTAGTAAGAAACGTTTCTTTTCCATTTCAAATATCCGTATGCCGTGTGATTTGATGAACAATACTTTCACTCTGACTTTCATAAATTTTTACTCTTCATCAGAACAGCGCTTTGAAAGACGCGCTTTCTTTATTTGTGATAGTGGATAGTAAGGCCCATAGGGACGATAAAAATCAATTCGTACATTTTCTAAGCTATTTCTGTATCATTCGTCGACTTTTGCTTTACCTGCTCAGCGTCTCGTTCGCTCTGTTTGAGCTGCAACAGTTGCTGCAGTTTGATTCTGCGCACATCACACAACTCATCCGTGCGTAGTTTCCGCTCTCTTAGTTCGTCTAAAGTAAGCCGCACATGCGCAATACCCTTCCCATAATCCTGAGTGACGTCATCACCCCGCATATTGGACATTGGACTTGTCATCAGTTCCTGCACGGCCAATGCATCTCGCAAGGTGTCTTCAGACGAAATGGCAACCGCTGAGTGTAAAAGGAAAATATTACACCATGTGATACAACGGAATACAAGGCCAAAGGAAGGAACCCCGTTAGGGAAATATTTATAATGACATAAACACTTCACTCACCCTCAGCCTTCTCTTCCAATGTTCTGAGCATGCTCTCTGCAGTCTCATAGTCGTACATGAGAACAGAATCAGAACACAGCAGTTCAAATAAGTCATCCAAATTAACTGAGCACTGAAATAAAGATCAGAAAATGACCTCAGCTGGGCTTCTAAAGAAGCGTAAGATTAAATTGGACCAGTTTCTCACTCAGTTCCCCTGTTGGTTTTTTTTCCCTGAACCTGGCCAATCAAAATTAAGTTAGACTAGGAGGTGGAGCGTTCTAAACAGACATGTGCCAATCAACTGGACAGATGACAAATTAATAATTTCTTGGTTGCAAATTCAGAAAGTTTATTATTCCATTTTGCGATGGTTACTAACAAGCAGGTTTCAAAAATTAAAGAGGGGGTTAAGTTTATAAATGAACTGTGGTGTTTGGTTGGGAGATTATAGCAAGGTAATTTGGTTTTATCAACTGAGTTGATAACGTAAATTAGCCACTATTAAGAGTTTCAAAGCTGACTTTTTGAGCGAAGAAGAAAGGTCACTGAGTAGCAAGTAAAAAGTTCATCACATCATATAAAGGAATTGCAGCTCCAGACTCCAATGATTGGTGATTTGAAAATCATCTGCCATTAAAACAAATATAAGCTTTTAACTCTCCCTTTACCTCCCCTGCACTCTTGTGAAATTTAAGTGATGTCAGTATGATGTCTCTTCTCCTGTTCATCCGCAGGGCAAAGTTTCGACAACCTCTGTCCAGGAATTCCTTGCGACTTTTAATATCTCTGGAGGCATAGTGATTTTCCTGGAGCATTTTCTTGGCAAGTTCACGCACCTGAGCAAAGTGGTTTATCACTTCCTATGAGAGAGAATATTCCACAGAGTTGATGATTATTTATGATTACTAAAGTTGGCTCCTGCAGACACCTCGCTATTACAGACACCCCGCATTGCGGACAAAAGTCAGACCCCCGGCAAAACGCATAAATTAACGACTGAAACAAACTGCCGTTATTACGGAAATGCGGACACTTTCATGCCCCACCCCAGCACGACATTCACTTGTGTTTTCTCTCGTTATAGTGGACACTTAAGTACTTTGTCCAAAATCCTGACTCGCGTAATATAGAGCGACATTACGGTAAAGGAAAATAAAGAAACCATTTTTCAATTGGGCACGAACATGAGAATTTCCTGCTTGCGGCCGGATCTTTTCCTGGTTCATGATGCCACGTTCGAAACTTAACGTTTACGTAGTTACATATTATTTCATATATTTAAAGATAATTTTTTTTTCTTTCGTACCCGTTATTACCCCCCCCCCCCTCCCGAGGGTGTCCACAATAACGAAGCCGACTGTTTATGATATGGGCTTCGACTTAATGACGCGTCCTCTGATTGGTTGAGAGCTCAGACTACCCACCGGCCGATAAAGAATAACTGAGGTCATTCAAGAACCGCGCCCTTTTTTTTCCTTTATCCGAAAATACGTGCAGATAAAAACGATCAAGGCTGACTGACACTACGAGGGTATGAGTTCCATTAAAGTTTTAGATTAAGTTTCCAGAGAACAATGTGACCAAAAAAAGCGGAGTGGAGGAATCAATAAAGATTAAGAAGACAAACAAGCTCTTATCTGCGAAGAAAAAGATCGCGAGGATTTGTCGAGAAAAACCGTCCGTGACATGGTAAGAAAGTAATTTTTAGCCCGTAAATATGGGAAGGTGAGAGTTTTTTGCTCTCTGCTGGTAACCTTGAGCATCAAAAACTGAAGGATAATAATTTCCAGTAAATGACTTAGTCATTGCGGGAAATTCTCAAATCTTAGCCTTGCCGTATTGACCTCGATATCGCTCGATCAACACGTCAAGACCGAGGTTTGAGATTTCCACTAACGACCCACTCCCTCAAGCAAGTAAGACAGGCGCCCTTCCAGCATCCACAGTTCTTATGAGAGAGGGTCAGCCACCCAAATAAATACGTCAATGATTAATACTTATTAAGAAAATAAAAACATCTATTATATAATTAGTCAGCCTCTTCTTATCCATGCTAATTACCAACTCATTAAATTTAGAGATGGAAGGAAAAAGTAGGGGAAATATAATATGTGATACTAATGGAAATATCTATTTTATTGCTAGGTTGAAGTGGGTTTGATTTGATAAAAGATAAATTGATGAAAGTTACATTAAAATTATCTCTCTTACCCTGGCAGACAACTCAAATTCCTCATGCTCTTTCCTAAGGATCTCGCAAGAGATAACAGAGTCTCCAATATCATTGGAATTGGCTAAATATGACTCTCCTGACCCAAGGACCCAGTTTGTCACCTGAATGAACATATCAAAGCAAAAATCAGTTTGACAAGGAATTACAATCAAAGAATACCTATGGCCAACTTGTGGATAAAGTAATCTAGAAATGGAACACATCTGCAAACTTGCAATTAGCAGTCTTGCAGCAAAACTTGCTACTTGTACTCCAAAGAGTCTCGAACTTTTTTCTGTATCACTTTCTGACTTTGCTTACAGAAAGTCACAAGATATCCAGAATGATGGTGACCATCTAACTCTGCAGAATAATAAATGCATACCTCAGGCGGTCTACAAAATAATATCCTGTGTTTATTGAATTGCGTTTGCAAAAACATATCAAATTTAGATGCTGCAATCCAAATCTTTCTTGCCTGCACAAGCCAAATGACCTTAATTTCCATTCCTACGTCATGTTTTGCCTCACAGTCTCTCATAGTTGCATTGTAACCTATTAATCTCTTTGCCTTGGAAACTATATATCTCAGAATGCATTTTATGTGCCTGCAAGATTTTTTCACCGATTGAAATTAAAGATATGTGGCAGTGATTTCCACAAGTACTCAGAAAAGCACATAATTATTTTTGTCTGCTAAAAAAGTGAAGCCCATATGTAAGATAATTCCATTGTGATGTCATACACTCAGGCAAGTTCCGGACAAGAAATTAGCACAGTGTCAGTCAACAGTGTCTACACCTTAGTGAATGAGAGAGTGACTCGTTTGCATTTTGGAGTCCCCATAAAAATGGTTTGGTAAAAAAAAGCCCCAAGTTTACTAAGAGAGAAAACAGCACAAAATTAAATTTTTAGTGTAGACATCATTCATACAAATACAACAGAAATTTAAAGTATTTTGATGTAGGGAGCAAGTGAAAATTGGTTCTAACAAGCAGAAGACAGAGATACATAACGAATAAGTTTTGTACACTAATTAATGGCCAGTGAAATGCCAATATATGTGATCAGTTAAAATAGATCTGTCTAAGCTGAGAACCTTCAGTTTCCAAAATAGAGGTATTCCTTTGTGTGATGCCCAACACATTAGCCTTAGTTGAGCTTCCTGAGGTATAGGTCATGGCCTTTCTTTCTCTTAATTAATGCCAAAACTGCCATCAGTGTACCTTTTGATATCCTGCATCAAACTCCAGTAGATCCATACACTGTATCAACTCTTTCCATCTCTTTTCCCACATGTCCATCAACTGGCTGCACCTCAGCTTTAGTTGAGTCACATTACCTTCCACCTGTTGACGCTCTTGGCTTGGTAAAGAAGCAGGACTACCAGTGAAATTTTGGCTGGGTGGTATAGGAGGTTCATTAGCTTTAATTGAGCTGATAAGATGTTCTCCTCTTTGGATCAGTGGATAAGCAACATTATCTAACAATGCCCTTTTGGTTTCATGTTGACGAATCAGGCCATCTGTTTCTGCTATGTCGTTACCTAGCTGATGGGTGTCTAGGTCTTGTTCCAATTCATCAAATTTTTCATTCAAAGAGACTGACTCATCTGAAATTTTCTCAATTTCCTGAAATTAAACAACATCCAATTCTAAAAACAGGTTTGAGAGGTGTTTGCCTACAAATTTCTTATCAATCTGTCTGTTGTAATAAAAACATAATACTTGTTATTTAATGTTACATAATTTGTTATCAGACTTACCAATCTAGTATCAATCCATCTGTTATGGTTATATGATAAAGTACCACCCAGCTCTTGAGTAATTTGACTTCCCTCAGCAAACTGATGAAGTTTACTTGATGATGACAACAATGTCGTCTGTAAACAAAGTTGATAGAGTGAGCCATGTACACTCACTTTTGAGTGAGGCCTTAAAAATTTTTACAACAAAGTAGGTTGTATTCCTTGATAGTAATCTGAAACAGCTAAGCTTGAAATACAAATTTAAACTTGACTGAATAAGATAACACAAACTCCCACTGAACATACTATCACAGTTGACAGAATTGCAGAATACAGGAAATCCAAGGGAAGGTTTCCTTGATACATAAAAAAAGGTTCAGGCCAATTTACCTCAAATGCAACACTAGATTGTTCCTTTCTAAGACCAGTTCCTGAGCGTCGTTTTTCCCAGAAAGCATCTGGCTTAATAATATAGACTTCATGTACCTTGTCTGGAACTGTTTCCTAGAAAACAATTAGGAAAGAACCTTCACTGACATGATAATTACTGTTTGAGACATGATCAGTCTTGTTACATAGAGCATACTGTTAAGATGAACAGGAAAACTTTTAAAATAAGTTAAGTTCAAGTTCTGATTTCTCCACTCCTCTTGATATTTACTCTCATTTATCCCCTGTTGCCACCAGTGAAAAAGGAAGTAAACTACCAATCACATTTTTAATTTTCAATTTTTGTTTCAAAATTTAAAAATAAAAAAATAATAATTTACTATATCCCAAAACTAGAAGATCAATTCCCTGCGCATCCTGTTGCAGCTCCACATACATGTACAGCGGCAAAGTAAAGGAAACTGAGCTAATACATGATAACTACTGACCTGAAGAGTTCTAATCACACTTTACACTGAGCTAATAAATGATATTTACTGATCTGAAGAGTTCTATGCGCACTTTACACTGAGCTAATAAAATGATCATTACTAATGTGAAGGGTTCTACACACACTGTAAAGTACACTGAGTTCATAAATGATCATTACTGAGCCGAAGAGTTCTAAGCACATTTTACACTGAGCTAACTAATGATCATTACTAACCTGAAGAGTTCTTAGAAGAGGTTTGGCAGATTTCCAGGATGAGCCCCTAAGGTCAATTATAACCATGTACATATGTCCTTGTTTTCCATTCCTTTAAAGGAAAATTTGTTATTAGCCAGGATTTATTGTGTCACTGGTTTTAAAATAATTCTCTCCAATTCTCAAATGCATGAGCAACCAGGCTAAATTCTTGTTGTTGGTATCCTTAGGCCACCACACCAGCCAGTGGGAACACTTCTCAGGATAATAGTAATTACCAGTAGCAAAAAATTCAAATAAAACAAATTGCAACTGGTGTTGTTGTCTACTATCATAACCTTATCAAATAATTGAACATATGAAACCCCCCAAAAACATTGTGAAATCTGGTTAGTTTGTCATTAATCAATTATAATATATATTGATGAAACTTGCAGTTCTAAGTGAATAATTGTATTGTGTACAAAATAAATAGCGATGCTATCTGCAGGGATCATTTCATTGATATAAAAGTCAAGAATTCTTCAAAATCTATAATTTAATTCCAGCAAACAAAATAAAACTACTTTTCCAAAGAGAATTTTAAATTTTCCTTAAAAATTACCAAGTTTGATAAGAAATAAAAATCACTTCAGAGATCTGTCATTTAAAAAGATTTATGACTCAAATTTTAAATCCATTGAAACCAGTTTAATTACCGCAAAGAGTTTTTTCACATAATTAATTATTTTTTTCCAAATTCCAACCATTGGAATCTAATTTCAATGTGCAAATTAGGTTTGCTTGTTTTCCAAGTATTGCTGAAAGTAAAAGGGGTTCGTAACTGCTTGTCAGTTCACTTCTGTGGTTTTGTTTACGGAACTATCCACAAAAAGTGCATCTGTCACACATGTGCGCTACGAGACACCAAATTTAAAATAATAACTTTGTAAAAGAATCCATCAACAACATTGAAAGTTTAAATAATCTAACATACCTTGGTGATTGAGTTAAGTAGGAGAGAGTATCTCCAAGCTGATCTACGCTCAAATTTTCAGTTTTTCCGGCTGGTATAGTCAAAATATTTCGGCCTTCCCGATCGCGCCCCCCTGGTAAGATTTAACCAACACATACAAATTAGCTCCGGCTAATCAATCGATATAAAATATAAACAGCTACTATGAAAGACAAAGTAACAAAAGACTGAATTTCCCAGGACAAACATACGGCAAGCATCGATAGTTCTAAGTTAGAGAACTGCGATGAGTTTTACAGAGTGGTAAAGGTAATGTGAAGGAATGCTTACAGATGCCTCCATCGAGTTCTCAAATCAAATATTTGTACTCCTCAAAATTCGTATTCTAGAAGAAACTTAACATTCTTCCACTTAAGGATATATTAAAAAGTTGTTTTACCTGCGGTGAAAGCAAGTTTGGCACGTAACGTAGATTCTATTTCAGAAGTTCGGATCACGCGTTGAGCTACAAAAGGACATATGTCAAACCAAAGTTATTGCAGAAATGTTCACTTGAAGTTCATGTTATTGGACGTTAAATCGATTCCTTTAGATACTCACGTCTGTACGATCTTCGTAGGTCTGGAGACGAAGCGTATTCCGGACGATATGTCCTTGTAGCGAATGACAAATCCTCAAAACCTGACTGTCGAGCCAATTCCTCCATGGCTTTCTGAGAAGCCATTTTTCCTTTGTTTATACTCCAAACGTAGCGAGAAAGCAAAGATCAAATTGCCCCGAGGGTCAACCAAATGTCAGTTGAATGTTTTTCATAACTTTTCACGATTGGTAGACACAGTCAAAGTGCGTAAACTGTCGCTTATTCCAACACTGCGTGACCACAACAGTCACCTCCGAACCTGTGTCTAATTTGTCTCCGATTGTAAAGCCCGCTCTTGACGCGGGTCGAAATTTTCTTCAAGCTCGACTAGCCAGTAACAAAAGAGTTTCGGAATTTGAGATCAATGACTGTCTTGTCCAAGTCTTTGTCGTCTTCCCTATTGAAAGGAGCGACATCAAGAGCCTGAAAGCGCTATAATTAACTTTGTTAATAACAATAGTGAAGAGTTATTTAGGAGTTCAATTATTCTTCGCATTCCGAATAATTAACGTGGAATTTTTCTATTACCTCACTCTACCCCTGTCAACCTCAATTAAAATTCACATCTGCACCAAGCCGCCTCAAATGTGATTGCAGCTTTTCAAGCAATATTATTAATGAGCATCACGAGTTAATTGACAGCGAAATCACAGGCATATATCTCAAATAGGCTAAGCACAAAACCGCCATCTGGAAAGGATTTAGAGGTCCTTCACTGTAATCAGAAAAAATATCTGCGGGGCGGGGGTTCGTCAAAGTTTGGACGTAAACACCTCTAGGGATTACTAGTGAAAGGTGATTGGCTTATTCTAAATTTAAAAGTAAATATGAAGACATTTTTTCAAATCATGAAATATTTGCCCTGGTAATACAGCGCTCGTGTGATGTACTCGTTTCGATATGCATCTTTGATCCATTTGATCCAAATCATCTTCCATTTCCAAAGACTTTGGCTGTGTGATGTACAAAGTGTTATTACCTGTTAAATCTGACACCTCTCGGATGCATATCTTATACGTAAAGCTCTTCAGTTACGTGGTGGATTAGAAATAGTCACGCAATTTAGCTTAATCGGCATTGCGTGACAACACAATAATACCTGGATAAGAAAGCCCTTAAACGGGCTGTAGTATTTAGGCATAATCATTGCGCTTAAAGTTCCTACATCATAAAATTTGGACACTATCGGGAGCCCATTAATGGCCTCCTGTTACTATTTCATAACGAGACCAAATCATTCCAAACTCCAAAGGACTCGCAAACACTCATTCAAAGACATGGTACAAGGTGTGGTACAGGAAGTGGCAAAGTGTATTCAATCAAAGAGCAAGTCATAGAGCGTATTAGCATCGATCACACAAGTGAATAATACTTTTCGGTTAGGGTTGATTGGCTAGTTCTGAAGTGAATAGCAGATACTATTCACCTTTACTCAGGTGAACAATTGTTTTAACAATCCAATTGATTAAAATTAATTAAAGTTATTGGATGGCCACACACAGATAGTGGTTTCATTTGATAGACACCCTCAGGCATATCCTGTTACTGACTCTCACTCAGTGAAAGCGTGCGACAATCGGTACTTTTGGTTGTCAAGGAAACGGCTGCCTTTCACTTTTTCCCATTTGCCTTACAAACCAAGAGCCTCCAATAAGAATAATGAACTCCTGACATGAGGTAAAATAGTTCAACTTAGCACGCACCCCTTAAGGCAATCACTTGGCAAAAGGGGCGCAATTTTAATGCTATCAGTGACTTGTCCAAAGCCTCCATCTTATCCTTACTATCTTCATCATCATTATCTCTCCTTCTTGTCGGCGCTACTATCAAGTCCCTTCGACTAAACTGAACACATAAAACTCAGGTTACGAAACAGGTGGAGCTGTAGAAATTTGAATTAATTCCGTTGATAATATGATCGTAGGCCAACTTTGCAATCACTCTGACGCTAGCTTAAGAGGCGTGGCCGCGTGGGAGGGGTGGGAAGAATTATTTAACCAGCACCACAACATAGAAAAATCGCACAGAAGACCATCAATCAGGCAGTGTACTTTTCCTTGGAACTAACCGAATATATGAACCACGAAATCGCTCTTTTAGAAGGAGTAAGAGTGAATTTGAAGTTGACTTGCACACCCATCAAAAGAAGCCTCTCATTGTTTATTCAAGAAGTAAAGATATTTGTTTCAAGGCTTACATCAATTATACTGACTGATTTCAGTTCGTTTGACGCTTTAAAATTTCCTGGTTTAAGTAGGTAACATGTTATCGATAACTGATCACAAATTATATTGAGAGCATTCTATGTTTTCTGACATCCGAGGCTATAGAGATAACCTGACATTCTGTTTAAGAAGAGGACTAATACTGTAACCTTTGATAAAACGGATCTTAACTAACTTCTGCCCGCCAACACGGCAAGTGATCACATAACACTGCTATTGGAAGGCAAGTATAACGTTCACAAACCACAATGAAAAGCTACGCGATACCGGAAACAAGTACTCTCCGTATAAGACTGAACTAGGGTGTATGAGTTAAAAACCAAGACTGAGCAATCCAATCAGGACCATTGAAAATTTTCATTCTGAAGCTCATCCGAGGTTTTATAATTTTATTTCGAGAGATATACATTCAAGTGTGTGCATGCTCTGAGTAAGATTTTGGTGCAACGAAGTCTGGACAACATTAAAAATCTCACGCCTATCTGTACTTCAAGGTCGCCCATGCTGCTTACTGATATGGGTTATGGCAAGTTAGGATAGTAATATCAAACTAAAACTTAATCAAAACACATTATATTCTGCTGATCCGACAAACGTAATTCAAAGAAATATGACGATTAGAAATCAACCTAAAACCTTTAACCCGTGCTCTTATACTGCATGCATGATAACATTTGTAACCAATCATAGTCGTAAGAATAACGCCCCTATGCTTACCTCAAGTTTTCAAAATGTCAAAGGTAACTTAGCATTATATCATTAACATTATAGAAGTTCTAACCTTGAAACACCACGGTACATCACAAACTGACACAGGCGGTTACACTGAGAACTTTTAGAAAATGTGGAAAGAGCAAAATATCTCGGATCAAAGATTTGCGCCATACTGAAATAGTTTGGTATGCATTCTCTCTTATGTTAAAAATCACTACTGGCATTTATCCACTAATAAAACGTCTGCACTCTGACCTTGAATTATACTATTTCTGCCTTAGTGCTTTCATATTTCCAGCGTCCACATTAACTGCATCTTTTCTCCTAAATTTTATGTGTTTTTTACCTACACCCGAGGTCTTGCTAGCATGTCTCGAGTGTAACTCTGATTCATTCCCATTTTTAACACGTGATATAACTGTTCTTATCTGCCCCGGTTGCATGATGGGTGTCACTGGAGCCACTTGAGATTCTTCAGACGCGGCTGACTGCATTGGCATAATGCTACTGACCTGTGGAAACGGTGTTTGCGGCATCATACTGTTAAATTGGGTCGTTACACTGGGTTGAAAACTGAGCCCTGTGAGTGCAGCAGGGCGAGGCCTCTCCACAGGCGTGGTTACCCCGTTCGCTTCGGGAAGTTCTGCAGGTATCATCATCGACTGTTCGGGTGGTAGGACCATATTTGGAGACATATCCAAGGCGTTCTGATTTAATGTAGTCATAGACGGATTGGAGGCGAAAGGGAGCGGCTGTGATGCCATGGATGTGAAATCGGGTCCAGGCCTCAATACTCGCTGCAGTCCAAGTGCATCGTGTTGGGGCTCTTTGAAGGGACTAGTGTCCACTCCCTCTGAGTCTTCTTGGATTTTAAAAGGGATTTTGTGAATATGTACTTTACCAGATACTTCATCGTTATTTTCATCAATCCTGTTCGTCTCCTCGACTAGAATCCCATTATCCTCCTTTGGCGTCTTACTAATATGTTTTTCCATCGAATCTCCCAACTTTCGTGCATCGATTCCATCTTGTTCATTATACATTTGTATTTCTTCATTCTCTTCATCTTCTTCATCCGCTACATACAAAATAAAACCATTTAAATAATTCTCTTAAAGACAAAGCTCAATCAAAGCTTTCTTAACTCATAATCTTGCAAACGAAGTTGAAAAACACAACGGTATAAGATAAGTCGCTATGTTGGACGAGTTATCAGGATTCGATATTGTTCTCAATTTAAACAGTCTGTGCTGTTGTGGGTAATGGTAATGTTCGATAATGGATGAAACTCGCCCGTAACTACTTACCATAATGTTTTTTCAAGTAAGGTTCTAAATCAGGTATGTCCACACCGCTGTCGCTCCGTTCTAAATGGGTGGAGTCATCTCCTATGCTATCTGATAGATACTGCATGTCAGACCCACTTTCAGATCTAGAATGACTTTCCTCTCCTTGATTGTATGGCTTGGTATTTTCTTCATCCTTGAGCAACGACGCTGAGCGATGAGACGAGTCAGACACGTGTTCTGATTCAAATTCTGACCCGGCTTCTGACTCTGTTTCGGTATCGTCTTCGTGAGGTTTTTCTTCGTACTCATTGATCTCATTATTATGCCAACGTTCCTGATGTGGCTCTTCCTCTTCGTCTTCATCGTCGTATACAACCACACGAAGTTTCGGACTCTTCCGGCTGCGCACTTTAGGCGCATGTCCGTGGATTCGAAGCCAACGTAGCTTCCTTAATAGTCCAACTTTCATGTTGTCTTCATCATTGTTTACTGCTTCTACAGGAGAGTCGTGAAAATTTCTTTGCCTGTATTCATTAGATTCGCGCTCATCTGGAACCATAAATTCTTTGATCTTTGGTCTTCGTGAGTGAATGAAATGCACAAATCGTCCCTTACCCTTGTGCTTGTGCATATTCTCTTCCTGTTCATTGTCTTCAGTCTTAAGATAATCTCTACCTTTATTACGCAGCTTTAACCTCAATGATTTTGGTTTATAGTGAAACGAAAGTGAAACTTGTTTCTTATTCCCGCGACGATTTTTATGTTTTCCTATATATTTTGCGTTATCCTTTCGAATCTTAGTTTGTTTCTTCTCATTTTTTTGTTCATCAGAAACTTTAAAATGAGCAGATACGTTCGTAGTAATGCTATATTCCGTTGCAGTCTTGAGTCGCTGTAACTGATTGGCAGTTTGATTGACAGGTCTCGCATTGACCTCCTTAATAGCAGACTTAGAGTCACCTGAAATTTTCGAAATAGTCTTAGAGGGATTAAGCATAGTCTTTTGCATATCGGCTTTCAAATCATCTTCGATATTTTTCAGCTTCAGGGCCACTGCAATTACTCTCTCATCTATGTTGCTGCTGTTTATGATGCTTTTGCTGTTGTTGGTCATGTCGTTAGTGCCATAGTTGTTGTCATCGTTTTTGTTATTGATTCTGTTTATTGTTTTGTTTTGATCTCCTCCGTCATCGCTACTCATCTTTGTACGTTCGTTCTTTACTTCACTTTTATCAGATTTTTCAAAGTTGGAATTGCTTTTCTCGTCTGGAGTTTCGTTGTTATCACTGCTAATATTTTTACCCATATTCCCATTAGAACCAATTGTTTTGTCATCTGTATTTATTCCGATATTTGAGGTGCTCACGCTGTCAGTTTCCTTAGAGTTGTTTGAAATGGACTGACTCGTATTTTTTATAAGGCCACTTGACAAGTCTTTGAGTTCTTTTCTTAAATCTGCCAAAGCAGTAACTATTTTCGTCGCTGCTGCATCGCTTGGTACGTTAGTAGCGGAAGATGAAGTAAGATTGACTTTGTTGACCGGACGCGGATTAAGATTACGCGAAAAAGAAAGGAGTTGTTCTGTCTCTTCACTTTGACTGTCATTCCTTGCAGGTTTGTCTACACTGTCAGTTTCATCACTATAATCATCCTCTTCATTTAAACTTGGTGTGGTTGTTGTATTGTTATCATAATTCTTTCTGAACTGACTGAGAGCACGAGTCAAAGCGTTTGTGCTGATCTTAACACAATCTCTCTTAACCAGTGTCCTCTTTATAAGATTGTTGACCTGTCTTCGAACCTCCTCAAACGGAAGAAAATGAACGGCTCCACTTGAATCCTTGTGCTGGAAAACGTCTACCGACCCGTCGTGGCGCCTCGGGAAAAAACGCTCGAGTGCGTTTTGAATCCGCTTCAATAACGGAATGTCACCTGGTAGTAAGAGCGAATGTGGGTTGTGACGGTGTATCATGGGTAATGAGTGATGTATCACGCGCATCCCCAACCGATGATTTCTTTCCCCACCGCAGTTTTTATAAAACTCTACTAAACTGTCCAAGACGGTCCTTCCTTTCGTCGAAAGAGTTACATTTTTTAGCTCAAGAAGAAGACCGTGGCCCCGACCAATTTTAAAATGCTGAAAGTTCATGTTCAACTTGTGCGCCGTGTGGGGATTGATTCGAATTTCGAATGTATGACTCCTGTCGCCAGGAAGACGGACTGGGGTCCATTGCAGAGTACCCTGGCCCGGTAGGCCCTGGGTCAAGTCTTTTGTTGCGAGGTTCTTATGCAGCTCTTTCATAACTTCCGCCGGAACAAAAAGCATTTTTATATTCTTGCGCTCGTTGTCTTGACCCGTCACTGCTGAAAGTAAAAGAAAAAGGATTGACAAGAGCGTCAAACTTGTCCTTGTCCCTCAAAAAGATCACATAACATTACATTCAGGGACAAATCTGTGGACGATTCAAAACGTCGAACAGGTCGCGAAAGTACTAAATTAAGTAGAATGGTAATGTCCATTCAAAAGCACAGAGCTATAAACATCTGAGCGAGTTTTTTAAAGAAAGAGAGAAATTAATACTGAGTTAACATACACGCTAGGTGTTAGTTTTGATACGTACTGTCATCTCAGAATTAGTGTTAATTATGTCATCATCGTCTTTCAATACATATTGCTGTGGTGCTATGATGTGCTGGGTAATAAAGTATTAATTACAAAGGGAAGAACAGAAATGCAAAGCTTTACTCACCCATACAGAGGCAACATGCAAGAGATACCAGTAAAATTGAGGGCGCCATGTTATCATGAATGAGTTCCCTTGACTCACTGAAAAAATCCAATTGAGTAAAATTTTTAAAATTCAACATTTTCAGCCAAAGTAAATTGATAAGCAAAGCTGAATTGTGTTCGTGTTTCTAGTTTTCTTGGCGCTTTTCCACTATTTCCTAGATTTTAATGTTTATAAAATATAGTGAAAAAAAAATCAATGAACTAACATCACGTAACATGACAGACAATATGAAAAACAGCAGCAAAAAATGATCCCCTTAAACTGTCTGTAGATCAATAAAATGTGCCTTTGTTCGAACCTTAGGATATCAGTGCTAACGATGGTTTGAGCTCTCTGAGTCTCTGGACTCAGGACAAATGGAAAGGCAAAAGAGATCAAGGGCGCTCACCTTGCTTTAAGGGGAAAGAACATGGCGATGACAGTGTAACACTTACCTCCAGTACAGAAATATCAAACAAAGAGTTTTTGAAAAATCGTGCCATTTTACATGGGAAGGATTGTAAGTGCAGTGAAATTGTCACCTCTCGCTGTAATGTGAAATGAACAAGCCGATAAGGTAATTTTTCAGGTTTGGGAGGTGTGTCTTATGGTTTGACCTGTTGTTCTCTGACATTTCACAAGCTTGTCCCCGCCTTCTCAAAACGTTTTTGGTCAAAATTATAACTTCATTTAGGATAACAATAGACTATAAAAAGGTCCAGAAGTAACAAGGAGCATAAAGGAAATTAACATGATTTAAGTAGTACAATTACAACAAGCCACCTCAAATTCTTATTTTCGGTTTACAGAAAAATTTGGAAAAAACCAAAGCGTTATAGACGAGAATTTAGCAGTAGGTATTACTATGTATTTTGTAACAGGTGTGTCCGTAGTACATAATTTTTTTATGTGTCTAAATTCTCTTCTTTCAAGGAAAGAAAAATGATCTAAACATCAAAGAGAATTACACAGTATTTATTAAAAAAGAAAAACAGGTCACTTTATTTAAAAAATTTGAATTTGTAATTGCCACTTATGATATCTTTTGATAATCTGTAGTGCCCCAAAAACATTGGTTACTTGGCCTGGGGATTATTAATTTCTTTTTTTTGGCAACATCAACACATCTTCCACCAAAACGTATGCCGTCCATGTAGTTCAAGAAACTGTCTAACTCGTTTTGTTTATTAAAGAATAAAAAACGTGTTTTTGAAGAGACTAAGTGTAATCCTAGAAAAACGAACACGATAATTCTTAATTGCAAACAAGTTCAGACATTATTGACTTTGTTCGTGGCTTTTGTTATTGCTTAGCTCAGTTTTCTCGTCTTCGTAGATTTTGTTACCTTTGTTAACTAGTCATATTTTGTAAGCGAGACTTTTTCCCCTATCCAATGAAGTATTAGTGTAATACTTGTATGTAATACTTGAAAGACCGTATGAATGTCTGTCATTTTTGATATACCTGCTTTGTAGTCTCTGCACATACACAGTCCCAAAGATTAGTGAAAAATTTTAATATTTATTTATCTTAACAAAATAGGAAACAAAATTAACAACTGTGTTTTACACGTGCTGAGTAGGTTGCCATCTACTGACTCTTTTCGATGCTGATCATTCATTAATTCATTAATCTTTTTATTCGATCATGTTTATCTTCAGGAAAAATTCCTGAGCTCAACAACAGTCCTTTGTCATTTCCTAAAACGCTTGGCTTGGCTGCACTCAAAGGTTTAATCTACCCAAGCAAGTAACATCAGTTTGTCATCAAGGACTGTTTGAGACCCTCCCTCAACATCTAAGTGCGTAACTATAAAACGGTTGGGTGCGTTTCCCTAAATAAGTAAAGTACATTAACGCCATATTATCTTCGATAATGAACCTTGATGTTCAGTCTCACAAGGATTAGGGATTAAAACATACAAAAATTTACATTGTAACTGAGATACACAACTGTCAAACTAGCAATCTTTAAGATATTTTCTTTGACCTCTTTCTCTCCATCTGAGGTGAGTGATTGTTTGATGTTTTTTTTATAAAGTCTCGTTTCCAAAAGCTTCTCGTTGCAGGTCTCCAGGGGCCTGGAGACTTTATTCTGAACGTTCCAACCAACCTTGGTCTGAGAGGTGAACTCCTAAGTGGAAAAACCCGTTTACTAAAAGGAAAAACTTGTTTTCTAAAATCGAAAACTGGTTTTCTGAGAGGAAATGCCTTTTTCTTCGTTTTTGTTTCCGGCTGAGAAGGTTTCGATGAATCGGAACCTAGCAAAGGTATATCCGGGTTCTTGTCGGGAAGGTTCAACTGCATCAAAGAAACCTGGTGCGGACTCACCACGCTGATTGGCTGGCCCCCGATCACTCCGTTCGGTGCCGTCACCCCAGCCCTGTGATTGGCCAGATTCTGTAACTGATACATGTACATCAAGTGATCGTTCATTGAGGCATCTTTGATTTTCTGTCGTTCTTGTTCTTCTTGTTCTGCATTGACGTTACCTGATAAAAGAAACAATTCAGCAAAACCTCATGACCTGAAATATCCGTTGAATCATCCGTTGGATTCGCAGCTAACTTTTGCAGCACTTTGATACAACTTAACGCTTGGTTGATAATACACCAAAAAAATAACTGTTGATCTTCTTAAGGTTGGCATTCATATCATCTCAGGTCCACAGATAAGATTTGAATAATTTAAATTTTCAAGCAAATCATGGCAAGATTTTTATAGGTTACGAATTCACTTCCACAAGCGAAGACTATGACTGAACAGACTGGGGTGAAGGGTGTTACTCAAGAGAGAAAAGTATTGGAGGTAATGAACCGTTTGTAAAAACTTACTTTCACCTCTTAGAAGATGAAAACCTCACGCTGATAAATTATACGAGCTTGAAGAAAATCTCAAAAAGCTTTTGACATTTACTGATTCCAAAAACTATCCTCGATTCCACTTAAATGTTATTCACACCTCCCTTCAATTTCAATTTTTAATTTCTCTGGATGGCAATGGATTGCTTACCCAGCTCCTCTTGTAATATCTTCGTTTGAAGTTTCTCATCTATTTTGTTGTCTTGATCATTGAGCAAAGGATGTATTATATTATTTAGCGCCGACACAGCATCAGAAGGAGCGTCCTGACCCTCGTCTCCGGCTAGTTTATTCATTTGTGGCGTTACTCGAAATACATTACCGTTAACTGTATTGTCGTCCATAGTGAGAGAATCTTGGCCGAGAGAAGATAGGGACGAGGATTGATAATTCACACGTGGGCGAGTTGGTGTACCATCATTCAGATCTTTTAAGAAATCTTCCATGTTCATTTTCCCCGAATTCTTTGAATAGATGTGCAAAAGACCATCGTCTGATGGCTGAAGCCTTCCAGAAAGCGCATCCTTTAGCTTTTTACTCAAATATTCTTCGAAATCACTTCTATTATTTTTTAAGAATTTTCTTAACATTCGAAGAAGATATTTCTTTAGCTTTCGTTTAAAATCACGCTTTCGCTTTTTCACTCGGTGACATCGTCTGTTATGTAGTCCAAACAGTTTGCAAACTTGTTCTTTTCTTTTTGAACTAAAATGTTTAAAGTTGTTAAGAATATCTTCCCATCTAAGTTCAAAGCCTTCTGGCTGTTCAACGTGAATTTTCGGGCTATCATTGTCCTCTCCAGAGCCATCTTTGACCTTTTTCTTAATTTTTTTGAACATTTGACAAATTTTTGTGCTGCGGTAGGCTTTCGAATCACACATTTCAGATGTTTTGTCATCATTATAATCTTCTTTTACTGGATTGTCCTCGTCATTCATGTCGTCATCATCATCATCGTCATCGTCACCTTCAATATCGTCATCATTATCGTCGTCATCATCATCATCAACCTTGTCCTCGTCATCCTCTTGTCCTTCAGCGATCATTCTCTGTAAAGTTTCTTCATCAACGCCTAAAATAGATTGGATCTCTTTGGCCAGGGTATCCTTGTTCGGTCCTACAACATGCTGTAATTCCTTGGCGACTTTTTTGGAGGCAATAATTTTCACATTTTTCCGTGGATAGCTGATATGGTCCGGAATGTGAACAGCCAACCATTTACCTTTGCCATTTTTAGGATGGAATTCTTTTATCTGCATGTTTCTGGTGTCAGTTCCCCGGACTGCTGAATCAGGAAATACGACAACTTTACTCGGCTCGATCTTTTCACTTGTTCTTTTCAAAGACTCTGTCACTTGCCTTGTGGGCCCTGTTCAGAAGGCAGTTGAAATTTCCATGCACGAAAAAAATGATATTAGAAGGTTTAAGGTGACACAGTTAACAGAAATCACTTTAGATGATACAGATAAAGAGTCTGAGTGACGTTTATGGTTGAGTGTGAGAGAACTTACCAAAGTAATCTTAAAAATTGATTTAAGATAAATGTTGCTAACGACTGTGCTTAATTCTTATAAAAAATATTGTCATGAGAGCTTAGGGGCCAATTTGTTTACTGTTGATTGTTTAAGAGCTTCCAGTATAGCAAAAAATATTAATTAGCCGCCAACATGAGTAAAATTCCCTTTCTTCACTGTTACAATTTTTTTGCGTTTGAAAAAAAAAATATCGCTCGACCTTGCTGAGGCCTCAGTACTAAAAGAGCCGTCCACGGTGTAAGGTAATTGTTTGATGTTTAAAGAGAAAGACAGATCAAGGTCCGAAGATTAACACGAACGGTTGTGATTGTAGGAGTTTAACTGTAATGACATAACTTGTTGAGTCATTTCGTTGTAATAGTCCGTTGTAGTTGATAGTTAAATAAATTCACATTGATTCAGTTTTAGAAGATTGGGTACCTGAGGGTGCGATATGGACAGGGTTAACGTTCCATGTTTTATGACCGTTGTAGTGTTATATCGTAACTCGTAACTGAACGGTCTTCAGGTCGTCTAGTTAAGGAAAAATGTTGGTAAAGGCGACTTTACTCCCGCAATGACAGAATGTTTTAATGTTGCTTGAGGATTCCACTGTGTCGATAACATTAATTTACTTTGTCGCTTCAAAGCTTACAATTTTAATGAATATCAAAAGAGACAATTTTAACAACTCCTACAGCGTTTCAATCAGTACGTTACTCGGGCACCAGCTGTAAAGTAGATAGAGGTATGCACTCCCTAACTGGAGAGGTATTGAACACTTGTCTTATACGTTAACTGGCTACCAAGGTGTCCACAAAAGACATTCTAACTGAATGCCTCCGTGAAAAACTCCTGAACCTGCTTAATGCCGGCTCAGCTCCTTTCTGGTTTCAGTCCTTAGTACCATATCGAATTTTTTCCAAGAATTTCAAACCCTATATGCTCTTGACACCGTATTCCGGTTTTTTTTCCCACTTATCCTGCTCCTTACAATTCCGGGGAGTTCAGATCCCGTAGCTTTTGGCCTGGGGTATTCTGGGTATTCTGTTTGTAGTAGATCAACTTCACCCGGACTCACAAGGCTGACCTGCTGCTGACCAATGGAGCCCAGTTTCTTGCTTGTGCGCGGCCAGTTGAGTAACATTTCAGGACTACCT